TCTACACAAGTCTAGACAAAGAAAGTCGGTGTTACCAAAGATAAAATGGGACATCAAGGTCATAGCTCTGACTACGGCAAGAGTTCCATAAATGAAACATTTCTTCTGAGACTTAAATGAAGTTAAGAAGACGCAAAGATACAAGTTGATCAGATGATTCTATAGAAATGCAAGCTTTATAGCATAAGTTTCTACACTGATATCCAGAGGTAACCCTGGCAATAAATGATGAACTAGAGGAAGACCAAGTTCACCACTTTGAAGTCAAATGAAGATTGCATCAACATTCATGCATTCATAAGAATATCATTTACACAATAGACAATGCATTACACTGATACATCTGAGTGCATTCGAACATGAAGTTTTACAGATCTTCGGAAGAACAAGAAGATTCATGGTAAGAAATACTTTACAAGAAGAAGGTATTCAAAACCTCAAATATAGGAATCATGCAAACATCTGAAGAAGTGATGGACGCAATCCACAAGAATGAGTATTATCTTGAGATTGGGGCATGTTACCCAATCAACATGTTATTTTGAAAAAATGAGAAAACGATTTCCATAGTTTCTCATTCAATCTTTTCTAAAAAATGAAATTGATGAAAAGTAAGAAAACGATTTCCTTAGTTTTTTACTTAGTAAACTATTTCCCTCATCTGTAAGTCCTTCAGTGCATGATGTTTCCAAAAAGCATTCGGGAGCTTTTTGATGTTTTCAAAGCCTTCGGGTCATCTGTAAGTCCTTCAGTGCATGATGTTTCCAAAAAGCCTTCGGGAGCTTTTTGATGTTTTCAAAGCCTTCGGGTCATCTGTAAGCCCTTCAGTGCATGATGTTTCCAAAAAGACTTCGGGAGCTTTTTGATGTTTTCAAAGCCTTCGGGTCATCTGTAAGTCCTTCAGTGCATGATGTTTCCAAAAAGACTTCGGGAGCTTTTTGATGTTTTCAAAGCCTTCGGGTCATCTGTAAGTCCTTCAGTGCATGATGTTTCCAAAAAGCCTTCGGGAGCTTTTTGATGTTTTCAAAGCCTTCGGGTCATCTGTAAGTCCTTCAGTGCATGATGTTTCCAAAAAGACTTCGGGAGCTTTTTGATGTTTTCAAAGCATTCGGGTCATCTGTAAGTCCTTCAGTGCATGATGTTTCCAAAAAGACTTCGGGAGCTTTTTGATGTTTTCAAAGCCTTCGGGTCATCTGTAAGTCCTTCAGTGCATGATGTTTCCAAAAAGCCTTCGGGAGCTTTTTGATGTTTTCAAAGCCTTCGGGTCATCTGTAAGTCCTTCAGTGCATGATGTTTCCAAAAAGCCTTCGGGAGCTTTTTGATGTTTTCAAAGCCTTCGGGTCATCTGTAAGTCCTTCAGTGCATGATGTTTCCAAAAAGACTTCGGGAGCTTTTTGATGTTTTCAAAGCCTTCGGGTCATCTGTAAGTCCTTCAGTGCATGATGTTTCCAAAAAGCCTTCGGGAGCTTTTTGATGTTTTCAAAGCCTTCGGGTCATCTGTAAGTCCTTCAGTGCATGATGTTTCCAAAAAGCCTTCGGGAGCTTTTTGATGTTTTCAAAGCCTTCGGGTCATCTGTAAGTCCTTCAGTGCATGATGTTTCCAAAAAGCCTTCGGTAGCTTTTTGATGTTTTCAAAGCCTTCGGGTCATCTGTAAGCCCTTCAGTGCATGATGTTTCCAAAAAGACTTCGGGAGCTTTTTGATGTTTTCAAAGCCTTCGGGTCATCTGTAAGTCCTTCAGTGCATGATGTTTCCAAAAATACTTCGGGAGCTTTTTGATGTTTTCAAAGCCTTCGGGTCATCTGTAAGTCCTTCAGTGCATGATGTTTCCAAAAAGCCTTTGGGAGCTTTTTGACGTTTTCAAAGCCTTCGGGTCATCTGTAAGTCCTTCAGTGCATGATGTTTCCAAAAAGACTTCGGGAGCTTTTTGATGTTTTCAAAGCCTTCGGGTCATCTGTAAGTCCTTTAGTGCATGATGTTTCCAAAAAGCCTTCGGGAGCTTTTTGATGTTTTCAAAGCCTTCGTGTCATCTGTAAGTCCTTCAGTGCATGATGTTTCCAAAAAGCCTTCGGGAGCTTTTTGATGTTTTCAAAGCCTTCGGGTCATCTGTAAGTCCTTCAGTGCATGATGTTTCCAAAAAGTCTTCGGGAGCTTTTTGATGTTTTCAAAGCCTTCGGATCATCTGTAAGTCCTTCAGTGCATGATGTTTCCAAAAAGCCTTCGGGATCTTTTTGATGTTTTCAAAGCCTTAAGGTCATCTGTAAGTCCTTCAGTGCATGATGTTTCCAAAAATCCTTTGGGATCTTTTTGATGTTTTTAAACCCTCGGGGTCATTCATAAGACCTCTGGGCGGAATGCTTTCAACATTCCCATCCTACTCAAAAGAAGCCAAATGAAAAAATTATTGTTTTTTCGTCTTTGCTCTATTCTTGTTAACACAAGAATGAGCAAAGAGGGGCAGTTGTAAACATTAATTTTTTTTATTATTTTTGTTTTTTTATTATTATTATTAATATTAGTATTATTATTATTATTAAATAAATAAAACATAAATATTACAAGGCCCAAAATTGGGGCCCGATTACAATTACAATCGGCCCAATAGAACCCAAACCCTTTAGGGTTTGTAACATTCAGCTAGGGTTTGTAACATTCAGCTAGGGTTTTCTAAACCCTAGCTTCCAGACGCGGCGCCACCCCTGAAGCCACCCTGACGACCGACTCTCTGATGCTAGATGGTCTAACCAGTTGTTGCCGACGCTTCAGTACTGCCACGACGCCGGCCTCGTCGAGCTTTCCAGAAGCCAGCTGCCTCACCAAATCAGTGCTCTATGGTGAGTCACCGCCATAGCTTGGTGACTCACCAAAGATGCTACCCATGGGACCGGTCCGAGGAGTACACTGTGGTGGCTATAAAAGCCACCACTGAACCTGCAAAGAAAAACCAGAAGAACAGAGGGCAGAGAACGACAACAAACAAAACAGAAAAGAAAAAAAAAGACAGGGAGAGATACGAACAGCAACCAACAACCAGAACAAAAAAAGAAAAAAAAGGAGAGAAGAGAGGAAAGAAGCTTACTCTGTCATCAAAGAACCCCAACCGTCGCCGGAAACAACCAAAACCCGAAGGTATTTTCATGGATTTGCTCCGATCAGGAGCTTTTTAAGAAAAACGGTCACCGGATCCGTCATTAGGACGGCCCGATCTATGTTTTGGTAAAAAAATAAAATTTCCCGACCACCGAATGCGGTGGCCGGCGGCGGTGGTCGGCACCGGAGCACAGCTGCCGGCCGATGTCTGGTTTCCCTCCGGTGAGGGAAACCTAGAGAGAGGCGAGAGAGAAATCTCTCTCTCAGTTTGAGAGAGAGAAGAAAGAAAGGAGAAATGAGATGCTGGCCCTTCGGGCCAGCCAGCATAGGGTATTTATACCCTCTCTTAAACGGCGTCGTTTAAGGGAGGACCTGTGTGTAATTTGGTAAAGGTTAAACCCTTTCCGCAGTCACTTCGAGTTTGTAACATTACAAATTAGTCACTGAAAGCAAGTTTTGATTCTTTTAATTATGTCATTCAATTTTATTTTATTACATTTTAGTCATTATCAGTTTATATATATTTAGGGTAAATAACTGATTTAGTACCTTATAATTTTATTAACATTTATTTTAACCCGATTAATTAAATAAGGCTAAATTACATTTTAGCACTTAGAGTTTTTATTTATTCGAGATAGAGCCTTTAAACTTTGATAAATTTTATTTTAATCACTGATTAATTAATTAAGAGTTAATTACACTATTAGTAATTTTATTTTATGATGATTCAAGTTATGTTCATTATTTTAAATAATTTTACATTTATTATTATTTTATTTATTTTTAGTCATTGTTTAGTTACATTTTAACTTAATTTTTATTATTTTAATATATTTAAATCATTACTTTAATTATTGTTTTACTATATTATAAATATATATAGTATTTATTTATTTAATAATGTTTATTTATTTTCCATATTAAAAAAAAGGGCAGTCTTAATACAACTGGATGTCCTATTCTGGTATTTTAAAACTAATTATTATAAAAATTATAATTTAGTTTTATTACATTTTTATTTATTAATATAGAAGAAAAGAGCTGTCTTAAGGTACCTAGAAGCCCTTTTATGATATTTCTAAATAAATAAATATCTTATTAATATATTTTCTTAAAATTATAAATTTGAAATTAAAGGATTATGAATTAAATATATTTGAAATTTTTTTCTTCTAATAATAGAGACAATTTATAGTTAATAAAGTACCAATTTTGGGTGTTGTAGGGGTGCTAATCCTTCCCTAAACGTAACCGACCACGAATCCCTTTTTATTAATAAAAAGAATGAATTTTTGGTTAAACGCAGATCAGTTTATCTTTTAACTGATGTTTACTTAAAAACTCTTTTAAAAGATGATTTTTAGGTATTCGACCTACCTGACCCAAAAGGCCGATGGCGACTCCCAAATTATTTTAAAAACCATTTATTCACATTACTTTTCCCGCCGAGAATAAATATTTCGTGCCCGGACGAAAACCGGTTACGACACTATTTGATAACTGACTTTGAATGATTCAAAATGTACTTCTGTGCTGAATCATTCAGCACTGTTTACTGAATCAGTCAGCACTGAATCATTCAGAGGTGCGAAACAAACGCGTTGAATGTTGAACGGTTCAACATTTAAAGCTGAATGCTTCCATTAAGAGGCAAACAAACAACCCCTAACTTTGAAAATATTAGATGCCTTTTTAAGTGAAAAAAATTAGTTATCTAAAATTAACTTTTAAGTATAATTTAAAAATTTATACATTTAAACCAAAAGAAATAATTTATAGTACTTACCCAAATTCTATTCCCCCATACATTTATAATTAAATATTATTAAATATCTTTATCCATTGAACCCTATATAAAGTTAAGGTGGTAGGGAGAGAAGTGCAAGAAACTTACATAGAAGCACATTATTGTAAAGAGAGATGTTAGGGTTGATTCTTGTCGTATTGGCTGCTGCTGGTTTCGGCAACTGCCATGGCTATGGCAGAAATGTAACATACGATGGAAGATCATTGATCATCGATTCCCATCACTTGCTTCTCTTCTCTGGCTCTATTCACTATCCTCGTAGCACTCCTCAGGTACATCTTCCATGTATATATATATATGCAATACATACATATAATTTTTTTTTATTTTATTTAAGTTTAAATATGTAACGTGAACTCATCAAACGACCTCAATTGTAAAATAGAGTGTTGTTCTCTCTAAAGGTTAGGAGTTTGAACAGTTGTATCAACAACGTGTGTGTTATCCATGACTAAGAAAGATTCTGAATAGATAATGTCCTTATAATCACCTACCACTATAAAATGAATGTAGTGTTTAGGTTCAGTGCAATTGGATATATATATGGGTAAACATCCACTTATACTTGGTGTAAAACTTTTAGTTTTATGTTTTTTTAAGATCATTGGATGATGAGAAATCAAAAGCCAAGATTAACTTATTTTTTTCCGTGAATATCTTCTCATTTCCTACTATTAATTTTAACCTTTGATTTCTCGAGGGACGGAGCCAGGATTTCAACTTAAGGAGGCAAAGTTTAACTTTTCTAAAATTGTGGGACAATTTCATAATTATCCCATAAATATTTAAATTATATATATATATATATATATATATATATATATATATATATATATATGACATTGAACATGTCTAAACTTTTTAATTCATGTTGGATAATACTACAAACTTTAATTCTTAAAATAAATAATAATGAATTTTAATTTATTGTTGATAGAGAAAGAAATAATGAAGGTATATGAAAAGAATACCCAATAATAATTCGTTTTAAATAAATTATAACAAAGAAAAGATGACGTGTTAAAATTAATTTCAGATGTGGCCGTCGCTTATATCCAAAGCAAAACAAGGAGGGATTGATGTGATTCAGACTTACGTGTTTTGGAACCTTCACGAGCCCCAACAAGGACAGGTGAGGCTCAACATAAATCATCCTAGATAGTCCCTCGATTATAGGGTGCTATTTGATTGAGACTTTCAATTATTAAAAGTTATATAATGATATTTTAATTATAGTGTGCTTTTTTATTAAGTCCTCATACTATTAAAGGTTATAAAATTATCACTCGACTATTCATTATTTCAAATTCGTCCTTTTATATTAAAAAATTGGCAGCGATCTGAGTTTAATGTTAACCTATTAACTGTGATATAAAAATATATGATCCTAGAATCGTTTGAGTTGTATGGTGTGGATCAAATCTTCATTTATATATTGTCATCGAGCCAGTACTTAGAAACTTTATGTCGTCGAGTCAGTACCTGAAAGTAACGATGTTGTCTTTAGACATCATAAAAATGTGATTTGTATCATACCTCAATCAGTATATTAACGTCCAGCCCAAACGACTGTCATTTTTTAACGGAAAAGGATGAGTTTAGAACATATAAATAATTTATGATCATTTTTTAACTTTTAATAGTCGGATGACTCAACAAAACAACGACTAATAATTAGGGTATCATTTATGTATTTTACCCAGAATTAAATTAAACTCTTCATTTGAACAAAATTATGGAGCTTAAAACTCAAGAATTGTGCAGTATGATTTCAGCGGAAGGCGTGATATAGTAAGGTTCATAAGAGAAGTTGAAGCTCAGGGCTTGTACGTTTGCCTCAGAATTGGACCCTTCATTGAGAGCGAATGGACTTACGGGTAAAACATAATTGCCATCCCCTCCTCCTTCATCACCATTGTGACCATACAAACTGATTGTTGGTGGTGCAGGGGACTGCCGTTTTGGCTGCACGATGTTCCCGGCATCGTCTTTCGATCCGATAACGGACCATTCAAGGTAAACCTACATACGTGACGTCCTTTACGCTGTTTTTCGATCCGATAACGGACCATTTGTGTCATCAATAATAGTTTCACATGCAAAAGTGGGTGACAAAAGTGGTAAACATGATGAGATCAGAGAAACTATATGCTTCACAAGGAGGGCCTATTATACTATCACAGGTCTTTTATTTTATCTGTGAATTATCCTTTTTTTTTTTCATTTTCTCATGGATCTGAAAATTGTTTATTACATGAAATATCAGATAGAGAATGAGTATCAAAGAGTAGAAGGAGCTTTCAATGGCAAAGGGTCAAGCTATGTTAAGTGGGCTGCAGGCCTTGCTGTAGGACTTCAAACAGGGGTGCCATGGATAATGTGCAGCCAGCAAGACGCCCCCGACCCTGTGGTATTTGCTTCTTCCAACTAACTATAATTTTTCTATTCGATTCGACTTGACCGAATGCCGTTCGAACCAACCATTTTGTCTTGTCATTGTGTTTGGGGGTAATATTTGGCATTTGCAGATAAACACATGCAATGGATTTGAATGTGGAGTAAGATTCCGAGGACCCAACTCTCCCAATAAGCCATCCATGTGGACTGAAAACTGGACAAGTTTGTACGTATACGTTGTTTTTCTTATTTAAGAATTAAACTTCTTAATCTTTTTATAGTGAGTTAATAGAATCATATGTCTCCAAACTATGACCCTCATTTTAAATTAGTCTTTAGGCTTTTAAATATTCCAATTTCATCCCAAAATTATCACTCTCATTCTAATTAGTCCTTAAAATTTTGAACATTCTAATTTCATCCCCAAACTATGAATATCATTTTAAATTGGTCCCTAAACTTTTGCATCTTTAGTTTTATCCACAAATTCATCCAAATATGTAATCCATTTCAACCATAATTTAAATTAAATTTTATTTTTTTCAAACATATAATAATATAACTCTGTCTAACGATTTTATTAACATAGGATGTGATTAGTATATACGTATAATTTAGGATTAAAATGAAATGTTCAAAAAGTTTGAGGACCAATTTATAATGAAGATTATAGTTTGGGGATGAAAATGAAATGTTAAAAGTTTGAGGACTAATTAAGAATGACAATCATAGTTTAGGGATTAAATTGAAATGTCTAAAAGTTTTGGGACCAATTTAAAATGAGGGTCATAAACTGATGAAGTATGATGCAATTAACTCTTTTAGACTTGCAAGAAGACTAATGAATGAATGAATGAAGCGTGCAAAGGTATGGTCAGGAGCCGTTCATGAGATCTGCCGAAGAAATTGCTTTCCATGTCGCTTTGTTCATTGCCAAAAATGGAACTTACGTTAATTACTATATGGTAATTACCACCATTTCATTTTCTACTATTTCTCCATGGACTTTATTTTACAAAAAAAAAATATAAGGATTAAATTTCAAATTTTAAAATAGTACAAGAACCCCAACATATTTAAACCAATATGTTTTTGTTAAACAGTATCATGGAGGTACCAATTTTGGAAGAACAGGTGCTGCACGAGTAATTACAAGTTACTACGATCAAGCACCTCTTGATGAATATGGTACGCTTCTAATTATTTATATGAATAACGAGTGTTCTGTCTATTCGTTTAACGGTTTATTCGGAGAATTACATAGCGATAAAGTTCTCCCATCGAATATTTATCTCGTAATTTTTAACTTAATCCGAGTCGAATTAATATTTCAGGTTTAATTAGGCAGCCTGTATGGGGTCACCTTAAGGAACTGCATGCTGCAATAAGATTATGCACAGTTCCTCTCCTTTCTGGACTTCATGAAACTTCCTCTTTGGGTTATCTTCAAACTGTAAGAACAATTCTTAGGGTATTATATATATATATGTGTGTGTGTATGCACTGAATTGAAACCTTGTTTCATCTTAAAGGCTTATGTATTCAAAGGAAAATCAGGGGAATGTGCTGCATTTTTGGTGAACAAAGACGACTCCTCGAATGCTAGAGTTCGTTTCCAGAACATTTCATTCGAGTTGCCGTCGATGTCGATAAGCATTCTTCCGGACTGCAAGAATGTAGCCTTTAATACAGCGAAAGTAAGACTCGAGATCCACTTCCGTTTCGAGGGGAAAAAAACGTACTCAACCCTGCATGTATTAACAGGTGAGCACACAGAACAATACAAGATCAAGGAGGGTGAAGCACATATTCGATTCGACGGAGAGATGGAAAGAGTACGCGGAGCCTATCCCGACGTTTTCGAATACGTCGTTGAGAGCCGAAGTTCTGCTGGATCAGATGAGTACGACCAAAGATACATCGGACTACCTTTGGTACACCGTCTGGTAAGCGCATGTCCACACATTTTTTCTCTCGGGTCGACCTTGTTTGAACCGTGTCCGATTCCGAAATACGCAGCTTTCAGCACGACCCTGATGCTCAAGTCGAACTTTCTGTGCTTTCCAATGCTCATGTTGTACATGCATTCGTCAATGGACGATACAAAGGTGAACATTTCGACATTAAACTATGGAAAAAAGTTGAATTTTACATGTGGGTTCATACTACTTGATCCATAGGATATGCATACGGTGGGAGAAACAACTTCGTACTGGAGAAAACAGTCGAGTTGAAGAACGGAACGAATAATATCACCTTACTCAGTGTAATGGTTGGATTACCGGTAAGCTTCGGTTTCAGTACGACGACGGATCAATCGCCGAACTCGGAAACAAAAAACGAATCGTTTTTGTTGCCATGTGCAGGACTCAGGAGCATATCTTGAGAGCAAGACTGCAGGCATACGAAGTGTAAGGATTCAAAACAAATATCTCAATAACTATCAATGGGGATATCAGGTAATTCAATTACCTTATAGTCTACCTCCTACGCGTTACATATGTTATAATTAATGATACAATTCCTCTTTTTTTTTTTTGGGATGAAGATTGGCTTGTTAGGAGAAAGGTTAAGAATATTTAGTACCGAACACGAAGTTCAATGGAGTCCGTATCAAGCCAGAGGACATCGATTAATTTGGTACAAGGTAATTAACGATGTCCACCGCTTTATCACAATACGAATATCAAATGTGACATTATCTTATGCGACAGACATGGTTCGATGCACTGAGTGGGGATGAACCACTGGCATTGAACCTCGGGTCCATGGGGAAGGGTGAGGTGTGGGTGAACGGCGAAAGCATCGGGCGATATTGGGTATCAATTCACACGCCGGAACATAGGCCTTCACAAACGTGGTACAATGTGCCTCGATCTTTCTTAAAACCCCGGGGAAACATATTGGTCCTACTGGAAGAAGAATATGGGAACCCTCTTGGGATCACGTTGGATGGTGTATCCATTACATAAGTAACCATGTTATTTATTTTTATATTATCATATGGATCACGTATTTTAAATAATCATTATTGAGTTGAGACTTTTATATTTGTATTATCAATGTATTATGTTTAAGTCAACTGTGACAGTAAATTACTAAAAATAAATTATTGAGCGTAAAAATAAATTTGCAGTAAAACATGCTATTTCTAGTTTTAAATTAGTAAAAATAAATTCTAAATTTAATTAACTAAATTGATTTCTGAAAGTAAATTAAATCAACTGTATGAGTAAAATTATTGAGCGTTTCCTTTTTCCCGTCCCTTGAAGAATAATCTGTCTTAATCTCCGACCCCCAAAGCAACCACCGAAAGCAAAATTTGTCCCTCTGTTCATTCCATTGCTTCCTTAATGGCACCCTTTAATTTTCTCTACTTCCTAATAACTTATTTATTTTTTCACTTCTACGCAAAATCTTCACAATGTCTTGTAAGCCAAATTTGTTAAAATTATTCGGAAGTAGGATATTACAAAGTGAACCAGGAATTCCAACAGAATAATTTTACAGAATCATTATATTATTTATATTTTTAATTTTTTAAATTAAAAAGATTAATATGCTTAAACTCATTTTAATTTGTTACAATTTTCAACACTCCCAACCCAACTCAATAATGATATTCAAACCCATAATCTCTAAAAAAAATTAATAATTTTTTAACCATTAAAATAAATGAATTCGTGCACTTAGTCTTGCCGTTTAAAGTTTTAGAAATTGGTATCGTTTTATGAAGTAAAAGTGTCCACTTTAATGGGAAGCTCATTTAATTTTACTCTTTGGAGTCAACCGTAAAACCTGCACCCGCAACTATAAAAGCAACACTTGGGGACAAAGATCCTCCTCCCCCAACTGTCCCATTTCAACTACCGGACATGCTTCTGCTTCCTCCGCCATAAAAAAAAACGCCCTTCCTCCTCCTCCTTCAATGGCTTCTTCACAACACTCCCGCCCTTTCCACTGGCACCTCGCCGAGGTCGAAGACCGTCACTTCCAAATCCATGGCCGAACCCTCTTCTTCATCATCGTCCTCGCCCTCATCACCCTCATCTTCGCCCTCATCTTCGTTTACGCCCGATGGTTCTGCAGATTCAGCCGTCACGCGCCTTCCCCTACTTCCCACGCGCTTCCCGACTCCCAGCCGAGGGGACTCGACGCCGCTGTCATCAACGCTTTACCGGTGACTATGTTCTCGGTCGAGGAGGCGACTCAGAGTGAGTGCTGTATCTGCCTCGGTGTGTTCGAAGACGGCGAGAAAGTTAAGGTTTTGCCGCCGTGTAAGCATTCGTATCATCCCGAGTGTGTTGATCGGTGGTTAAGCACCGAGTCCAGTTGCCCACTTTGTAGAGCTTCTCTCCTAGTTGAACTTGAACCAGAGCAGCTTCAAGTTATTGTAACTCCGTGAACGACGACAACGACAACGACGAAGACAAAAGGATTAAATGAATATTTTTTTGTCTGAATTATATTTGTAAATGACGATGATCCTTGTTGTAAAGCATCCATTCACACTAATTTCTGTGTGTTTTTTTAGATTGCCAAGTGCTTGATGAATTTGCTCAACCAATGATTTGTTTTTCTTTTTGTAATGAAAACGAATATGTTTATCTGTTGAGTGGAGAAATCAAATTCAAGCTTCTTTACTTTTCTTTCAATTTTGAGTGCAAATTTTTCTTTTGTTGATGTTGTTTCGATAAGGTGTCAAAAGTTTATGTTCTGGGTTATTCCATGTTTCAATCAATAAAGGAAGCCATTATACGATAGAGAATAAACCCTTTTAGATAAGAGGCACTCAACTATTTTTGCACGAAATAAACGACACGGAATAAAGAAATTATTGTTATTTTTTAAAGTTCGGGTTCGAGCACCTAAAATATTAGGGTTACGGACGTTTAATATCAAATGATTGAAAGTTATCTTTAAATAAATATAACTTTTTACTTACCTAGAATAATAAAAAATTACTTAAATAATCTAAATTTTTAAATTCATCAAGCGATAACATTGACTAAAAGAAATATTATTTTTTAAAAGTATGATATAAACCCCTTTTACATCTTAGTATAACATTTCTCAACCAAAAAAAAATTAACTTTCTTTTATGTTACGTGATATTTAAATTAAGGCTTAATACTAAAATAAGTGCCCAAAATATATTTAAATTCTTGAATAGGTGTATATACTATTTTTTTCGATCTATCCAGGTGTCTAACGTTACAAACGTTACCCATTTAGGTATCCTGGTAGTCAACAACGTTAATTTTTTCGGTTAAGTGACACGTGTCACAATCTGGTATTTTGAATTTTTTAAAATATTATTATATTTATAAAAACCCTAATTTCTCTTAAATTATAAAAAGCCTTCAAATACCTAAAATCCTCAAATCCTACCCTTAACCTTTCGTTGCCCTCATTTCCGGCTATGACCACTATTGCCAACGTAATCTCTGCCATCCTCCTAGTCATATGCCGTCGTAATTGTCGTCAACTGATTGTCGAGATCGCGTGAGATCTTGATTTTCATCTAGTGTTCTTGGGGTATAAAAAGTTAGTTTGCCATCAATTGGTCACGATTTCATGGGGGGTTTTGGTTGCCGGGAGAGATGAGGTCGGGTGGACCTTCGTCGACAGTAAAGGACAACGATCAACGTGGGTTAGGGGTTGAAATAAAGGTTTTCAAAGTTTTTGGGATTATTTCAAAATGTTTATGTTTTTCTTTAAAAATATATATAACTGTAATTTTTTTAGATTTAACAGCTCTCAATATCCTTTCGATCCATCTCCAATCGAATGCTTATACCTACCTGTATAGCCCTCTAACTTCCCTTTAAGCTATAACCTTACATCTTAGTATAACATTTCTCACCAAAAATTGATGTCATTTTTGATAGGCTAAGATATATTGTAAATCAAAGTTAGGGAATGAACTAAGATATACAGGAAGTTGACTTATCAACTACAATGGATAACTCATCACCAATTGTCCACAAATGTTCCCTATCATATCCAAATTCTTAAAGATCTATATCTAATGCATTCACACTAACAACTTATAGGCTTTATTCACCATCTAATGTTTGAATTATATATATTTTATTTTTACATTAATATCTAATTCTTTTTATTAATATTTTGATATTCAAATCATTATTTACGTATTATTATTTTCTCTTAAAAATTTATTAACATCCTACTGCCTCGTACATATTCCATTTTAAAATAATAGTGACACAAGTTATTTTTTAATTGACAACTTTTCTGGTAAATAAACTCCAAAAAAAAATTACATTTCATTTTTATAATATATATTGTGGGAAGGGCTATGACTCCCAAATTTTTTAGGTTTAACTGTATTTTAGGTCCTTAAGGGTTTTGAAATTATATAAATTAAGTATCATCCCTTATAGATTTTTATATTTAATTACTTTCTAGGTCCCTATTAGTTTTGAGACTAGGTAAATTAAGCTTTGGCTCCCATTTTCGGTTTAAATACTTCTTAAGTCCCTATCAATTTTGGTATTTGGCAAAATAAGGAATATTCTTATTGTTTTTGTTTAGATACAATTTAGATCCTATCAATTTCATACTTCAACTAATTAAATACTAACCTCCAATGTTTAAATTATTATTATTTATATTTGACTTTCTAATCTATATCATGATTTCATTCCTGCATGTCATATTATAAATTATTGAATAAATTATTTATATATCAAACATAGACCTAAGAAACAAGGGTAAATTATAAATTTTCATCATTGAACTTTGCTTTCTCTCGTATTTTGCTCACTAAACTTTAAAAGTTTTCAATTCCTCATTGAACTTAATACATTAGGTTTTTCTGGTCACTGAACTCTACTCTCTCATATTTTGGTCATTGTCATTATATAGTTAATGGTAGGCCTGTAAATGAACTGAACATTCAACGAACCGTTCATGAACCGTGCGGCGGGAAGTTCGTTTATGTGCGTTTATTTATTAAATGAGCGAACATGAACAAGATTTTGCGTTCGTTTAATTAAATGAACGAACATGAACAAAGGGCTCGTTCGTTCATTTACGTTCGTGAACGTTCAATTATATGTCGTTTATGTTCGTTCATTTATGTTCGAACAGAGGGCAAGTTGAATATGTTACGAAGATTATTGAAGTTGTTTGGATTTCAAGAATATTGTTTTGTTGAACAAATTAACTTTAAGACTTTATTATGTTCATATAGTTTATTTATGATTTATGTATGTTTTTGTCGTATTCGAACAAATTAACTCTAAAGTTGCAGGTTATATTAATGAATGTTAAGTTGTTATTCTTGTTGTTTACTTTTTTTTACATTCGTTTGTTGTGTTCGAATAAGTTTTTGTGTGTGTTTGTGTTGTTTGTTTTTGTTCGTTTATGTTCGTTCGTTCGTGTTCGTTTATTTATTAAATGAACGAACATGAATGATCTATATTCCTTAATGAATGAACATGAACAAAAAAAATCGTTTATGTTCGTGTTCGTTTATTTATTAAATGAACGAACATGAACATACCTCTGTTCGTGTACGTTCGGTTCGTTTACATGCCTAGTTAACGGTGTTAAAAAGGATGTTGTTTTAAAAAAAATAAAATTTTCATAAAAAAATGACGTCATTTTGCATTTATATAACAATCCATTTTAACGACGTTAGCTATTTAACGGCTGAGTAACAAAAAAAAACAATGTATAAAGTTTAGTGAGAAAATTGAAAAGACATAAAATACAATAAGTGAAATAGGAGAAATGCTAAAGTTAAATTATCAAATTTGTAATGTACCCAAGAAATAGACATAAATAGAAAAAGTTGATGGAATGTCCATTTTTTTGTTGCCCTTCAATTCGAAAGCTTTGTCTTGACTAATATGGACCAATCCGGATCGCACGCCTGATTTTGGTGGGTGAGTCATCCAACGGAGATTTTCTACATACACAAGGACTCGAATCTGAGACATTACTTAAACAATATAAACTATTTATCACTTCAATCAAAGTAATTAAAAAAAAAGTTGATGGAATGTCCATTAATGACACTAATATAAGACATAAGAAAGAAGCAATATCATTGTTGGGTAGTTCAAACATCTAGTGAACCGATGTATGTCTTATCACATTATTAATTCATGTACTAGTTACAATTCAACAAAGAGAGGAAAGACCACCTTTTTCTTTTCTCTTCCCTTCCTCATCAAAGAGAGGAAAGACCACCTTTAAGTGGGAGCATGGTGGAGTTTTGATTTACCAAAATAATAAATATATTATTAATAATCAGTGTCTGATGAGATGAGATGAGATGAGATGAGAAATTAAATATTTTAAATAAGATTAGAAGTTCGAATTTTGATATTATGACGAGTTAAAAAGATTAGTCTCATGATAGATTTTTACAGTATTCGATCTAGATTAACTATTCATTTTATGTGATTAATTTATGTTATCAAATGTAATTAAAATTTTAATAATTAATATGGATAAAATAAAAATGGTATGAAAGTGACTATAATTCTTAAAGAAAGAGTAGCACTTTAATGCATATAAAAAAATAAATAAATAGTAATTTAACACTTAACCATTAAGACCTTCAAAAGAGAAAAACACTTAGCTATTAAGAAAACCTTTTTAATTCACGTGGGAGGTCTTTCGAATTCAAGAAAAGGAGATGGTAATGGATGTGCCTAGATTACCCATTACAAATTGTCCCCTGTTCATACGCAAGCAACTCGTGATAATTTTTTTTTATTAAGATAAGGTGATTACAATGTATTATTTGTTTTAAATACTCTTAACCATTTGATAATGAATGTTTAATCACACTGTTACAGTCGTTGGTACTTGAACCTATGACTTTTAAGAATTTAATTTAAAAATAACTAAATCAATAAAATATGTAGACATTATAAATTAAACTTGCCGTATTTTACTTTTAATCTACTAATCTTTATTTTAATGTCAAATTTATTGTTATTGATTTTGTTCTAAATACTCTTAACCATTTGATAATGTATTTTACTTTTAATCTACTAATCTTTATTTTAATGTCAAATTTATTGTTATTGATTTTATTCTAAATACTATCAACCATTTGATAATGAATGCTCAATCACCCTATTGCAGTTGTTGGTGCTCGAATCCGTGACTTCTAAAAACAACAACGATTCCTTTAATCATTGAAGTAAATTGATTCATGCTGGTTTTATGTTTTATAAAAAAATATAAAGTTATAAAATTTTTAAGAGTTAATTGCATAATATGTCCCTAAATTATAACTCTCATTTTAAATTGGTCTTTAAACTTTTAAATATTTCAATTTCATCCCTAAAACCATGACTCTCATTCTAAGTTAGTCCTTAAACTTTTGAACATTCTAATCTCATCCCTAAACTATGACCCTCTTTCTAAATTAATCCCCAAACTTTTGAATATTCTAATTTCATCACTAATTTCATCCAAATAAATAATTAGTTTCAGTCATAGTTTAACCTAATTGTTGTTTTTATTAAACATATAATAATATAACTTGACCTAATGGTTTTATTAACAATGGTTGTGATTAATATACACATATAGTTTAGGATGAAATTAGCATGTGCAAAAAGTTTGAGGACCAATTTAGAATGATTGTAATAGTTTGGGGATTAAATTGAAATATTCAAGTTTAAGGACTAATTTACAATGATAATTATAATTTAGGAATGAAACTAAAACACTTAAAAAATTAGGAACCAATTTAAAATGAAGGTCATACTTCATGTGATGCAATTAACTCAATTTTCAAAGTATTATCTTTTAAAACATGTTTGATTTTTTTATTTACCTTTAGTCTTTTAATGTTTTGCCTAATTCTTTTCATGTTTACTTATTTTCATATGTATCAAAAGAATTTAAACAACGATTTAAATAATAAAAAGAATTTTATTTTTTTAAGTAATTTGAATTCAAGTAATTTTTAATAAAAACAAGTGCGTTTACTTATATTTAAAGATATACAAACTAATAAAAAGAATTATTTCTTTCTTTTTTTAACCTAATTTTCTTTCAATATTTTTGTGCCGTCTTCTTCTTTATCTTTGATTTTTTTTTTAGTCGACGGTGGCACCAATTTTATTATTAGTTACCGATCGTCAGTGACTATTAGTTATCTTTTTTTATGTCTTTTATTTTTAGCTTGAGTGTTTTTAATTTTGAATAAGATTCTCTGTATTTGTGACATGATTTTTCTCTGCTATTGTGGCACGATCCTCATCGTTGTTAGTACGTTTTTCGCATACCTCTGTGGTTGTTTTGGTTATCGCACAAAAACCATCGTGACATTTATATTATGATTGGTTAGTCAGTGATCACGTATAGTCAGATCCCCTCTTTTGGTAAAAGTTCATTTGTCGATGTAATCAGATTGTGTAGCAAAGCAACCTGCCATATTATTTGATTCACTCTCCACTCCTTTATCACTTCGTCAAGCATCTCATTTGACAGAGACAAGGAGTTTTAATAAAGGTTATTGAGTTTTGATGTTGGTCGCCATTCTCATCGGAAGGTTTAAGTTTTCTTCGTATCTTTAGTTTTAATTTTTTTCTGTATGAGTATTTTGATGATTATTATCTCCAAATTTCTCTCTATATTTTGATACGTTATAATTTTAATTCGTTCCATTAATAATAAAATCCAAATGCCATTGTTGAAAGAAACTAATAAAAAAACTGGTCTTAAATTTGCTTGACCTAATATATAATATAAATTAGTGGCCCAATTGTTAAGGTATTGCTTGACAGGCTTTAGGGCTTTACACCTATCTCTAATATATACATAAAACCTCGAAGCCGATTCTTTTCCTTCATCAATCTCGCCGCAGTCTCTTTCGAAGAACAACAATCCAGAAAAGGAAGCCGATTTCAAATCGTTTTGACCGTGAGAGCTAAGGTAAAAGAAAATCGCCATTCATCTGGGTTCTTTTTTTGACATTTTCGTTGTTCTTTATATCGAGAAATGGTTTATTCATTTTGGGTCATTGGCAGTGGAAGAAGAAGCGTATGAGAAGGTTGAAGAGGAAGATAATAAAGATGAGGCAACGATCTGAGTAGCCCTTTTGATTTCTTTCTTCACAGCTACTTGTTTTTGATGGATTAATGTCGGTTTTTCGTTTTCATGGCTTAGATTTTGTGTTTTTGTTGAACCATTTTCATTTTCTTGATAAATGTTGAAGAGCTTTTGCTTGAAGATCTGGGTTTTTTATGACCTTTTTGCTTTGAGAGTTGCAATTGCATTGGTAAAATGTGGGAAATCTTTACACTGACAATTATGGTGATGGATTTGATTGATTCTGGCTAGTTCAGCATGTTTTAAGTGAAATGGGTAATTTACATTTGGGACTACGAACATTTAGTCAAAATTTTCAGGAAGGTCCTTGGGTATGGTAACTTTTATATTCTAGTCCTTTTGATGGTATGAACCTATTTGGTTATGCCATTAAAATGATCAAAAAAATTGAAATCGAGTATAGTCAGTTTTATTTAAGTACTGAAATGGAGAATTGACATAATTTAAGTATCGATTTATGAATTAAGTCGAACAAGTTCATGTATGGGGTAAATTACATATTTCATTATTTAGTTTTCGTACTCTTATTTTGATCATTAAAATTTTAAAAGTTGTTTACGCAAATTAGCATTTTATTGATATAATATTTGTGTTATTTATGCCATTTTTTTCTTTTTGATTTTATCTTTTTTAATTCAAAGATGATAGTTTTACAATTTCATCTATGTGGTATTGTAATTATCATTATATAATTAAAACATCTCATTTTCCCTTATTACTCTAATGAGGTAACTTTTATTTATCATTTTAAAACTCATAAAATTCAACCCTATATCTATAATTTATGAAACCCTAAATCACTTTGATACAAATTCAACCCTATATCTATAATTTATGACACCCTAAATCACTTTGATATAACTTTGGATCAACATAAAATTAAGATATATAACTCACTTTTTTCTTCTCCATTTTATGACTATTAGAATTTAAAAGTTGATTTATCATGAGAAATTTAAAATGGATAAATTACAATAGATACCATCGAGTTTTAGGTGTTGTATTGTTTATACCATTCAACTTTAAAATTTGCCAATTATAGCACTAAATTTTGACTTTCGTTTCAATTGTAGCATTGAACCGTTAAAAATCGGATCAAAACGATGTTTTGGTGAGGTGTATACGTCAGCAGCCATTAGCCACGTCGGTAGCCGTCATCCATGTCATCGTGATGTTAACGATTCAACGGTTCAATGGTATAATTGAAACGAAAATCAAAGTTCGGTATTATAATTGACAAAATTGAAAGGTCAATGATATAAACAATACAATGCCTAAAGTTTGATGATATCTGATGTAATTTACCCTTAAAAATCATGACTTTTTCAAAAAAAGAATAAGAAACTTTTAGGATTATTTTATAATTTTTTAGAAGAAAAATATCCAATCATTATACGTTTAAATATTTAATGACGGGTGATTAAAACATGAATTAATAAAAAAATTAATAAATAAGTTAATTTTTTTAAATTTTAATGATTAAAATAAGAGTGAGAAGTACATTAATGAGTGATAACATTTGTAGTTTACTCATATATAATTTGTTCATTGAGGAAAGTGGGAAGGCAGGAACAAGCGTTGTCTCTTGCTTCTTATCCGCCAGTTGGATTTGGATGCATCCGATGATAAAGCATTAATCCTGTTTACGACCACATTCAACGACTGTTTCAGTGTGCTCATCGAATCCTCAACACCCTCTTTATCACTCTTGTTATCGCGAACGATCAATTCGTTTTTGATCCTTCCACCGATACTCGTAATCTCGACGTCGACGATGCTTAACCTCAGCTCTTTGAGCACTCGGATAAGCTCCGCAAACACTTCCGGCCGGTCATCGCAACACACCGAAGCCCTGATGAACATCTTGTCTTCCGAAACATTGCAATCGATCGTCACTTCATCGGACTCGGTGGGTATAGTGAAGGCTTTGCTGATTTCTGTTGCCTTCATCTTTAGATCCTTGACTTGCTCTATTGCATTTCCTAACAATGCTGCCTTGTCCATCTGAACAAAAAAAGAGGTCAAATTTCAGCTTTGGTCCCTCTACCATGCTCAATTTTGAGATTTAGTCATATTTTAATTTATCATAATTTAACTTGTCTACTTTTATAATTTCATTAGTTAGTTCAAGTAGTTAACAATTTAAGTATTCTAATTAAAGTAATGACCCCTTGAAAGAGTATATTTAAAAAAAATAGTGGACTATTGACTAACTATTGATATTATAAAAAATAAAAAAAAAATAAAAAACGTCATATTAAAATAGAGTATATCACAAAATTGAGTATAGTATAGGGACCAAAATCACAATTTGACCAACAACAAAGAATTGAACTAAATACTGGTTTTCAACATTATGAAAGTTAACTATTTTAACTAATTACTGATATTAACATTATGAAATACATAACGATTTGAACTAATTAGTGACGTTATACAAGTAGTTAGTAGATAGACCAAATTATGTCAAATCATGGTGACTGAATTATAGAAGTTAGCATGGTAGAGGTACCAAAGCTATAATTTAACCAACACAGAATTGATCTAAATACCAGTTTCCAACATTGTAAAAAAGGCTAAATTTTTCTGCAAACCATACCTTGTTAGACTTGGGGATCAGTTTCCTCAAACCCGTAAGCTGTGCGTTAATCCGATCCCTCCGCTGCTTCTCGGCTTCGCTATGGCTCTTGGAAATGGTCGTGGCTTTATCGGTCGTCGTCAGCGGAGGGAAACCGTGGCACTGGACCGAGCTCGAAGCCGTGAAATGAGGCTCGATTGGCCATGGCTCCATGAAAGAAGAAGATCCATTGCTTGTTGCACCACTGAAACCAGGCCAAGGTAAGCTCTGGTCACAGTCGTCCATTTTTGATAATGAACCAACAAAGTCTAAAGTGAGCCTTGGTCTTTATTGGGCAATATCTATGATTGAGGCACTGTTGATTGAGCTAATAGTGGCTGTGGTGTTCATATTACTCGCTGTCATTTCATCAAGGATTTTAATTTTTAGGGTAAAGTACACCGGATGTCACTAAACTATATAAATTCGATCTTTTTGATCAGCGACTTTCAAATGCTGTACAATGATTCTTAAATTTCCTAAATGGTTACAAAAGGGTCCCTGCGACAATAATTTTTGACAAGTTTAAAGACCATTATGTAATAATTCAACAAAGTTCAAAGATTATTCAGTAATCAAAGATTTAAATTGCGGCTACAGTAGCGTTTTCGATTGTGTTACATTTATCGCGATTATGACAATAATGGACACTATTGCGATCATTATAGGTATTGCGATTATAAAATAATGGTTTCAGACGACACTTTTATCGTTATATAACAACCACTATTTTGATAGTAGATTGCTAATTAAATCCCTCTTTGTAATAGCCCGAAAAAGTTTAATGATCACTTTATAATCGTTTAAGAAGCTTTAGGATTATATTATACTATGGGTAAAATACATCATTTCTCACTGAACTTTACTTCTCTCCTATTTTACTCAAAGTACTTTTAATTTTTCCAATTTACTCATTGAACTTCCAAATTGCTCTTGTTTTGGACACTCTATATTTATTTTATTTTGGTATGATGTGGTATTTTTATTATTTTTAATATAAAAATAATTTCAAATAAATAATAAAAAATGACACATCATACCAAAATAATAATAAATAATTCAAAGTGACCAAAACATGAGTAATTCAAAAGTTCAGTGAGTAAATTAGAAAAAATAGAAGTATAGTGAGTAAAATAAGAGAGAGTAAAGTTTAGTGAGAAATGGTGTATTTTACCCTTATAATATTTGAAAGATTGTTACCTGGAAAGGTTATTTTTACATAGCTCAGCGGACTCTATCATACTTTATCCTTTTTTGTTTTAACTTTTTATAGGTTCATTGAAGTAATTGAAGTACGAATGACAGACGGTACTAATACAAAACATTGAGACTGACTGATCAAATTGTTTAATTTTAAAAATAAGAAGGTCTAGAAAAGAGTTAAATCCAACAGTTGAGAGCATGTCAAAATTCAATTTTGATCAGAATTTAAGTTGATAAGGACTTAAAATGTAATTTGACAGAATATATAGGGCCCCTTGGCAAAAGCATTAACTGCAATGCAAATAGAAAATGGACAACAAAGAGAATTATGCGGATATAAATTGGAGGAAATCTATTGTTGAGAGCTCCGATTCAATTTATATTGGTCTAATTATCAGTATCATCTGTTTACTTTAACAAAACTAACAAGTTAGTCTTTTGTTTTACTTTAATTCTTCATATTTTTTTATTTTTTTTAATAGCGCGAGATGATTACAATGTAATATTTGCTTATAGTTTTCTTAAACTATTGACATGCACACACATAGTTGCTTAAATCCGGGATCTCTAAGAAAAATGATAACCCCTTTTACTGCTGAGACTGCTTAACGAGTTTCATCCCTTTTACGTAACAAAATTAATAAAAATCACGATTCAAGAATCGGTTCAAAATTTGAGTCATAGTTCGAGAACATACGATGAAATTAGCCCATTATAATTGTGAGGATGAGTGTGTGTATGATGGGAGTTGTGTGTAGGGGTATAAATGAACCGAGCTTGAACGAACAAGGCTATGTTCGTGTTTATTTATTTATTTTTAAAGGTGTTCGTGTTTGGTTCGTTTTTGTTTAAATTTTCAATATCGTGTTCATGTTCGTTTATTTATTTTTAAAGGTGTTCGTGTTCGTTTATTTATTCATTTAATGTTCACTAACATGTTCGTTTATTAAATGAACATAATTTTTTTGTTCATGTTCGTTTATTTAACTTAACAAACGAACATAAACGAACGTTATATAAACGGTTCACATACAATTCACCGAACATTTTGTTCATCATGTACGGCATGCTTATCTATGAACTATTTTACCTTTTTCTCTTCTTTTTCTTCGTAAGAAAGAAAAGATGACATTGAACCCTACAATAAAGTGAAATGCTCCACTTGGATAATATCTGTGTTTAAGCCATCATTTGTGACTCTTAAATTTTACATTATTTAAATCTATATTCGTAAATTTATTTTTAAAAATTTTAGAAAATTTCTCCCAAATATAATTAAAATGTCTTAAGATAAGATCGGATCGAATCGGAAAATTCTAAACTATCTCGGAAGAGAGTTTATATCCAAGAAGGCAAGGTTTTGGTGGCTTTTTTGTTTGTCCTCTCTCATTTTATTCTCTCTTCTTTTAATCATGGTCTCGTGGAGGAGCCCTCACAAAAGCACAAAAGTGGGCTTAAATTAGCTTCACCAACTAGCCAAGAGGGTAGGGTCCTCATATTGCAACTCATTAGATTTGATGTGAAATGTCATACATTGGGATTGCGTGTGCCGATGATCCTCATCTACCGTTGCACCTCGACTCTATTTGTGTAATTATAAGACGGTATTGTTCAATTCATTTGAGATTGAACGTTTATATTCGTGATTTTTTTAGTGTTCGAAATTAAAACTTCAAGGAATAACAACAATTTTATTACGATTGAGGTGAGTTGGTGTGTGCTAACCTATTTGTGTTTGAACGTCGGCAATGGCACAATGGAAATGTGTGAAATGTAGGTTCATGTTCCGCATGGACTTGGAGGTTTCCATCCATCTTTTTAATGCATAAAAACTGTCTAAAAAACTCCAAAAGCACTAGTACCATCACATGAAGAGATGAATCGAATAAACGTTAAAAGGGTATTTTTTTTAATTTTTTAATTTTACACTAAACAAATATTAATATAGTTTTTTAAAAGTTTATATCTTTGATATAAAAATATTATGTTCGTTTATGATAAAATATTGAATGAATCCAAACAATTTTTTGTTCACTTGAAGTTAAAAACTTTGCAACACGAAATCAAAATGAGATACAATCTTCAATGATGTTTTTAGTAGGGTATTCGATAACATATAATGAGGTTGCCCATATGCCCTATAATGAATAGGAAGGAATATGCGTAAGATGGAGTTAGATCTTTGTATTATTCGAATCCGACCCGAGTTTTATATCATTAATTCATTATTTGATCTAATTTGAGTTTAGAAAGGCATTAACGACTCAAAACTCGATTCGACCCAACATGATATATATATATATATATATATATATGGATTAGGATAAAATTACATAACATAAAACTAAAAAGTTTTACATCAATTTAGGATCGTTAAATGAGGTGTTAATCTCAGCATTTGATTTTCTCTCATTCAATGATTCTAGAAGGGTGTAAAAGTTTTAGTTTTACACTAGCTGTAAGTAGATATTAACCCTATATATGTATAGTGTAAATTTTTTTTAGTTTTATACCTTTTTAGGATTGTTGGATGAAGAAAATCAAGGGCTAAGATTAATAATAGGAAATGAGAAAATATTCACTGAAAAAAAATAAGGAGTTAATCTCATCCAACGATCTTAAAATGTTGTAAAATTAAAAGTTTTACATAAATAGATCCTAATCGCATATATGTGTGTATGTATAATTCTTATTTTTATTTGATAAAATAATGATCTAATTAAAAATATATAGAGAGAGATATTATTGCCAATATCTCTAAATATAAAAGATAATTACGATGAGATCTATTAATTGATCAAGTATTAAGGATGTTCATATTATCTCACCTTGTGTGAATTTGAACCCGACATTTATACGGAGAATGCAACACCTCTTTGCGTAATAAAAAATCTACAACCAATAAAACAACTATTATTTCTTGATTTATTGTTAGGGTAAATTACATTTTTGATTACTCAACTTTACTCGTGTTTATGCTTTGGCCTTTATTCATCTGTGTAAGTGTGCATGTATATTGATTCTTTTATGGATGAATCTTTTGCAAAAATTCTTTCTTTAAGGTACAAGGCGTGGTGGAGCAAGACGGAGAGATGGAGGGTGGAGTCATCTGCGATGGGCTACATTAGACGTTTCTCATTTTAGTTGTGTAAAAATAAAGTTACAATCGATAATTATAATGTAGTCTCCGCGGTTCATCGATGTATAGTGTTAATGTGAGGTTCGATAGTCTGAGGAACTGTCGGTTTTGCAATCGGCTGCCGGTGGTGGATGTCTATTGAAACCGATGTATCGCACAAATTAGGAAGAGATTGGTAAGTTTTTTACAATTGCAGAACACATACACATACACATATATGATGTGATATGTTATGTGTTTGACTCGGTGTGTTTTCAGATTTTGAGCCGTCGAGTTCGGTGTGCGCCTTCACGTGAGATACATACGTACAATGGACCAGTTTTATTATATCTTTAAGTCTTATTTCCCCTGCAGATATACAGAATGCATAGAGGAATTGGTTTTTGAATGAAAAATGGCGGCTGCAGGGTAAGTATGCCGTATAGGGATGGAAGATCTACGGATTTACAGAGTATAACGAGCCACTCGACCAAGACGACGAGTAAGTCCCTAGAAAAGGAATGCTGCTGCTGCTTAAGGATGCAATTTCTTCAACTGTTGCTGCCTTTTGTTGTTCATGTTAGCTGTCATTTTTGTTGCTCATGTTTGGTAGCTTGCATGAGACCTTGTAGCGAAAGCCAACATTTGTTGCAGGGTGAATATTTGATTTGCTTTAAAACACAGTTAACATTTGTTAATTAATATATAGCCATAGGTATTCGATTCATTGGTTGAGTAATCGAGATCAAATATTTCACCTATTATAAAGGCGATCATCCAAACCCAATATATTCTATTCGCATGTGAATTGATTTTCTTAAACTTGATTCAGAAACTATGTAGGTGGGTAGTGGGAATATTGTAAGGCAAGGAGGCCAAAACGAGCTGGTCGGATGCAACTACCCAAGCACCCAACTCGGGTTGCAAGGATGCATCAATGATGTGTTAAGCATGGAAGATTTGATCGTGAACGAATTCGGCTTTCATTGAGACGATATTAAGTACTTGATCGATGAACCACGCACGTCGCCTGCGCGTTTTCCTACTCGTGCAAACATTGTGGCTGCACTCGAGGAGATGGTGGATGCTGCTGCAGTAGGGGATGTACTGTTTTTTCCTTTCAGTGGACATGGAACAACCTTTTCATCCTTGAAACCTGGAGAATCTTACCAGGAAGAAGAAGCAATCGTGCCTTGTGATTTAAACCTCATCACCAGTAGGTTTCTTTCTTCCTATTGCGTGTTTCCTTTTGTTGTTTATATATCAGTATGATTATATCTGATCATGGTTAATGTGCAGACATGGACTTGAGGCGCTTGATTCAAAAGCTACAACCAGGAACAAGCTTCACAATCCTATCAGATTCAAGCCGCTGTGGAGGTCTGACTGTCAAAGATAAAGAACAACTTGGACCTACTAGAATGAAGGGTATACCACTTCCAGTTTACTTTTCTACCCTCCTGATTGATTTTAGAAATGACCATTTTTATTGGTTTCACTGGAGGGTGTTATCACTTTAAATTACGAAATCGAACTACCCTGACAGGTTAGGGTAACTCGTTTTGATGATTCAAATTAAATGTGCATTGATTTTTAATTCATTATTGAAAAGGTTAAGTGAGGCAGATGAGGCTATTACACTTTGAGATTAAATGTAAATGTCATGCAATCAATCAATAAACTTCAATGATTCGAATTTGCCTCATTCAATATACGATCCTTTTAGTTAACCGACTTTAGCAAAGGCTGGTTTTCATCGCAGTACTTGGTCTAGCCCTGTCAGTTCATGGTGATCGAAAGATGTTTTGTAACTCCCAGCAAGATGCAACACATCTAAGGGATTAACATGGTAAAAAATGACAAGAACAATATGCTTCGAGTGTGCTTGCGGTCTACATGATGCCAGACAGTTCGGCCAAACATGATTTCGAGGCAGCGATCAGGGGCGGATCCAAGCCTAGGCCTACCTAGGCCATGCCCCCCCAACACCCAAATGCCCAGAAAGGGGAAATTACTTATTGAGTCACACATAAATTATTTACTTTTTGTTATGGTCATATAACTATTACTTATTTTAAATCACAATTAATTTACGTTTTGGTTCTGTTTTTTCTAAATAATTAAAAATGTCATGTTAACATGTATAAAATGGTTATATCATGATAGTTAGTTTACCCTAAATAAAAAAACATGTATGAATTATGTTAAATAAACTTTTTATTATATTTATATTGGCCTAATCTATAAAAAAATTTCTGGCTTCGCCATGGCAATGATTGCTCCAGAAAATGCATGTGAAAGTTACTCCCTTTTTCCAATGTATCTCGGTCGAAGAAAACATTCAGTCTCGTATCTTTCAAAGCTTTTAGTAGATGAACAATGAAGTCGGGGTCTGTGTCTTTACCTCTGAAGCTAAAAAAATTTGATTGTTGGGTTGACGAAAAGAGGAAGAAGAAACCATGAAAGAGTACTGATTGTGTTGATATTCAAACAATTTAATCAAGTTAAATTACATCATTAGTCATTAATTTATTAATATCTTTTTTATTTTAAGCATCAAAGTAATATTTTTAATAAAGCCATCATTAACTTATAAAAACTAATCAACTACCGATTAAAAATTAGGATAAATTGCACCATTTCTCACCGAACTATACTCTCTCTCCTATTTTCCTCACCCAACTTTCAATTTTTCTATTTTGCTCATTGAACTTATAGATTGAATCATCTTGCTCACTCCCCCGTTTTCTCTATAACGACTGGTTGATGTGGAATTTTTCATTATTTTTTAATATTAAATAAAAACAGAAGTTGCTCGGATGCCACCGTCGGCCATCGTCGACTGCCGTAGATGATGGTCGTTTGGTTCCAAATTTCATGGGTCGCTTCGCCTCGACATCGTGAGCCCGAATTCAACTTCCATTTTATCTGAAGTTGCTCCGAAGTTCGCAAATTTGAGATTGAAAGTGAGAAAGCCAAAATGTTTCAGTCGAGATTCACAGGTTTTGGGATATTTTTGGCAAAACAACCATCAGATTTGAACTTAAGGGATCGAGATGAACCGACACATGAAATTTGGGATCAAACGGCCACCGTCAATGACGATGGCCAAAATGAAAATAACATGGTGGCTGACAGAAAGAAAATGAAGGAAAAAAAGAAAAAAAAAAGGTAAATTACACAACTCCTTATTGAACTTTACTCCATCTCCTATTTTACTCACCAAATTTTTAATATAGGATTCAAAACGACGTCGTTTTGGCGTATATTTGAGTTTTTCAAAACGATAATGTTTTGATGCTTGTGCCATGTCATAACACCATTAAATAATTAACGACAGAGTGAACAAAATGATTCAATTTGTAAAGTTTAGTGAAGAAAATAGGAGAGAATATAATTTAGTGAGGAACAATGTAATTTACCTTAAAAATTAATGATGATATCAACATTAATAATTTTATTTGAACCAACAAGATTGTGACACATTTTATTATTTTATAAAAAAATCAAAATATAAAGATACATGAGCTCGAATTTGAAACTCTTACAACTTATTAAAGAAAAAGGGGGGGGGAATAAAATTTAAGTGTGAAAATTAAAAAAACTCAAAACTTCATGTTGAGTCCCCAAACGTTACAGCAATTACACAGTGTTTTAATATTTCATTAAAACTTATTTTTAATTATTTATTTAAAAACAATAAAAATAAATTTAATATTAATTTTGAAAATGATGAAAATGGATGGCAGTTATGTCATGCAAAGGAGAAACCTAAGGTTAATTTGTCACTGATTTTAATTACACTGATCTTCGTAGAAAGAATGGTAGGATCTTACTAAATAATATTCTCAAGGATTCTTTCCTAAAGCAATGTGATAATTATATAAAGAATGTAATAAAATGTTTTTTTTTTAAAAAAAATTAAAAACAATAAAACCAAAGAAATTCAACAAGCTCTGCAGGAATAAAAAACACTGCATTGTTAGTTATCCAAGTAAGATTGAGGTTTGCAGTGTAAATGATTAAAACTAAAATTGAAATTTCATTCATGAAGACATATGATGTTCCAGCAACTGTTACTTTCAGCAGAAAACACAGTTGACTTAAACAGCAATTCAACTAGACAGCACGAATCAAATCATCGGCTCTCCAAATACCACCCAACGGAAGTTCAATCCAAGTCCTGTTGTACTCTGCTGCCTCAACATACTTTCGGTGGAGTTCCGACCAACTAGGAGATGTGCTGCCACAAAATCTAACTTTGGGATGCAACCAAGTACCAGAAGCGAATATGGTATTTGCTAACTGACTTGTTTCCCCCACTGCTGGAACAGAAAAACAAGTGCACCCGACGAACAACACACGGTTGTTCAAATCATTTTCATTAACCCAAGCCATCTTTGAAAAATCAAGCTTAAGGAGTTCCAAAGATGTGCTATCAGACAACAGTAGCAGATCTGCATCGGACACAATGAGTTTAGCACCGGCCAAACTATTTACTGGGAGTCGATGATCAACCAGAATAGTCCACTCTGTGTGTTCCACATCGAAGGCACCCAATTGACCTCCTCTAAAAACACAATAGAAAACTCCGTTGGCGTAGGCAGCATCAACAGCAGGATTAGGCCAATCAAAACCATCGAACTCAAAAGTCTTCCATGAACAATCACCCGCAGAACATAACTTTATATAAATTTTCCCATATTTACTCCACAAAAGGAAGATGGTACATTTTGGAGAGGTTGCGTTCAAGGCAAACGTCGCCACCAGAAATGTGGGAGGTTCCCCTAAATGGGGCAGCTTAATTACCTCAGTTGTAAACGGAGAGTACAAAAAGAGGGACTCTTTTTCTTCAATAAAGTCGAACACTTTGAAAAGCACCCACCCATACGAAGAAGCACAAGGTATTGCATCAAGGAAAACCCCACACTCTATTCTCCTCTCTTCTTCGACAAGGTACTCTCGGGAAAAAGGGTCAAGCAGCCGGCACTCTCCTCGTACTAGAGACGAAGCGGCAATACGCCAACAAAATTTCATTGCCCAGGGGAGTTCACCATCAATGGCAGGAATATGAGTGTTTGGGACTGACCAAGCCTTGCAAACTGCTCGTAATCGGATTCGGTCTGCCCAACGCAAACGTCCAATTATACGCTCAAGGATGTCGAGAGGGAGATCCGACCAATTGGGCCCATGTTTACCCCGTCGCCGCCTCTTCGAAATCCGTCTTCCCTTAGAATTTCTCGTACCAGTAGTAGTAGTAGTAGTAGTCATCTCTCCTGTTCTGGGATTATAAAGGAAATAATCAAGACTATTAGGAAGCGTACTAATCAACGGAAGACAGGAATGGCGGCACGGGAATCAGACTGTTTCAAAAGGTTTTGTCCGAACGATCGCTTCAAACCAATCGAATACTAACGTATGAAAGCCTAATAGGTTAAAATCAAATATACATGTTAACCTAATTTTCAAGGATCATTATCTTTATATATATGGAAAGTGTTAAATCATATAATAAGTATTTATTTATTTATTTATTTATATAACCTAATAGTTTTATTCAAAATCATAAATATTTTGGATTACAATGAAGATTTATAATTAAATTAAGCACGTCAATTTCCTATAATAATTGAAACAAAAACTAGCAATTTAAGATCAAATAAGGACAATACAAGGAAGGACTAAAAATCTAACTAAGAAACTCAAACAAATATAAATACAAATAGATCTGATCGCATCGGTAAATAAACCACGAAAGGAGATTAAACTATTGAAAGACAACCGATAAATCATAAATTAAACTCGAACGACGTAAAAAACTATCCAAACCATAACAAGCGTTCATTCTACATACGTGAAGCGTCGTTAGGTTTAGTGGGAAAGAATGTTAGGAACTGTGAGTTAGTCTAAACTATCTGATTTGACGCGATACTTAGAGAATTCTATAAGACTCATCATATTGATCTTGGTAAAAATATTGATTACATCTTGTTAAGGAATATTTTCGAGAATTCTTTCCTAAAGTAACGTGATCTCATATAAAAATAATGTAATAAGAGATTTGATATAGTTTTTAGGTATAAACGTCGCTAAATGTTAGGTTATTTAGCGACGTTTAGGATTAAAAGGGGTATACCCATCTGGTCATTAACCTGCATGAATATATAGCCTCGTTTATCTCCTCAGCTGTAACTGGTCTCGTCAGGAAGTCTCCCGCACCATCAGGAATAGAACAATGGAGGAGATTCCTTATCAAATTAACATTGCACTCTTTCACCTTATCATCAGCTTTCCCAATCAAGTTTGTAAAGTAGTCCAAAGTTTCTTTGGACATCTCCTCAAAAGATCCCAATCTCTTACCTTCATCATTAACAATCTCTCTCTTAATATTATTAATTTATGAAAATTTCTTCTAAAATATACTCACGGATCAAAACCATCAACTCAAAAGTCTTCTATGTACAATCACCCGCAGAACATAACTTTATATTTTTTCCATATTTACTCCACACAAGAAAGATGGTACATTTTGGAGATGTTGCATTCAAGGCAAAAGTAACCGCCTGAATTGTGGGATGTTCCCCTAAATGGGGCAGCTTAATTACCCCACTTGTAAGCGGAGAGTACAAAAAGAGGGACTCTTTTTCTTCTTCAGTACTAAAGTCGGACACTTTGAAAAGCACCCACCCATATGAAGAAGCACAAGGTCGTGCATTAACGAAAACCCCACACTCTATTCCTCTCCTCCCTTGTTCGACAAGGTAGTCTCGGGAAAGAGGGTCAAGCAGCCGGCACTCACCTTGTACCAGAGACAAAAAAGGCAGAACGCAAACAAAATTTCATAGCCCAGGGGAGTTCACCAACAATGGCAGGAATACGAGTGTTTGGCTTGCAAACTGCTCGTATTCGGGTTCGGCCTACCCAACGCAAATGTCCAATTATACGTTCAAGGATGTCAAGAGGGAGATCCGACCAATTGGGCCCAGGATTACCCAGTCGCCGCCTCTTTGAAATCATTCTTCCCTTGCAATATCTCGTACCAGTAGTAGTCATCTCTCCTGTTCTGGGATTTTAAAGGATATAAGCAAGTCTACTAGGAAGGCAGGAATGGCGGCACGGGAACCAGACTGGTTAAGAGTTTTGTCCAAACCCTCTCTTCAGACGAATAAAATACTAAAGTATGAAAGCCTATCTTAATTTCTTTTTATAGAATCCACTAATTTTATAAAAAAAAATAGTAAATATTTCAATTAAATAAATATTTATAATCATAAATTAAATTAAATAAACAATTAAGATCATTTCCTATAATCATTGAAACAAAACTAGCAAATTAAGATCACAAAAGACATACAAGGAAGGTTAAAATCTAAACAATAAACTCGAATAAAGATAGATACAAACAAATATGATCGCATTGGAAAACAAACCACAAATGAGAATCAAGCTACCGAAAGACCATTGACAAACCATAAATTAGACTCGAACGACGTGAAAACTTATCTACGAACGCATAACAAGTATCCAAATCTAATTAGAGGGTCTAAAGCATTAAAGATCAACAATATAACAAATAATTACCATCTTCATCAATCGTAGTAATGTCAAATCAACCCTTAAAAAGAGATAAGTGAAAACAACGGTCAAATGATTGAAAAACGTATCAAAAGACAAAAGATAATGTGTCATACATGATACTCTTTTATTTATCGAGTATCGAGACTGGATGCTCGGTCTCGAGACCGCTGGTCTCCATACCGAAAAACTAGTCTCTATATCGGAGGATCAGTCTCCATACCAAAGTCTTAATATCAATACCTAAAATGGTTGAGTGACTTAGTGATATCAAATTGACTCAAGAGTAAAGAATTTATTATCAATTAATGTCAGCATCTTAGCTCGAGTGTGGGACGTTACTAAATTGCCCTTTGGGATAAAATTACCAATTTACCCTTATGGGCCTCAATAAATGAAATAACTTATACAAGATACTTGTGCATGACGAGAGTATATCAACCGTCCCTCCAATTCAAGGGTGAATCGAGGGAAAACATGATGAGATTGACTAGAGTGTCGCCATTAATTAACAAGCCTGAGTCGAATGTTAGGATAACATATAACCTAACAAGTGAGAAGTAGTAACACGATTCTAGTTCGCCTATGCCACATGTTGCTCCTTGTAGCCCTTTTGATATGCATGATTGGTCAACTGGGTTCATGAAGCATGTACTAGTAATTCATGGTAAATTCTATGTTTGATGTTTGTAAGCATGAAAGGTGATTCCTTTTGACCCTTAAGACTTCAAATAAAAATCTAATGACGTTTTCTAGCCTTAGTAGGGTGGATGAGTGAGTTATGAGTTTGATTTCATGCTCAGAACAGAGCATTTCAGTATGTCGGTATCGATACTGTAAGAACAATACCGATACCATCCTTTGTGAAAGGCCAAAATAAGGCTATTTTGTAAGGGAAATATCGATACTCTATGCAGGGGTATCAATACTCGGGGCCCAGTATCAATACTCAGAGGGTCGGTATCGATACAGAGGCATTTTTAGAAAACATCGAAGTCAAATCCGGTATCAATACTCACGAGAGTATCGATACCCAGGGTAGAGTATCGATACCAAGGTATTTTTCAAAACATCGAAGCCAATTTTTGGTATCAATACTCAGATGAGTATCGATACCCAAGGGGTCAGTATCGATACTGTTGGCACAATATAAATATCTACAGTGATTTTGGTACAATTGGTTTGGGTGTTCGAGCTTGTGTGTTTTGAGTTCGCTTAAGCTTCAAGTATTAGATACAAGTGAAAACAATCAAGATAACTCAATTCTCACCTAGAAATCAAGCAAGTTAAGATGACATAAGATTTTCCTTTGTGATGATCAAGAAACGGTCAAGACACCCGAGTTACTCTAGCACTATAACGATTGTCCCTTGTTTGTGAATATTCGGATATTGTTTGTTGGTACGCATCCGATGCACTTAAAATCTGGGTCATACCGGTACGAATTCTTATGCCCGTAAATTTCAGAATCGTATCTTATGCTCGACTAGGTTCGGATTGTGAGCTTCCAATGCACATAAATTTCGGTTCTTATCCCGAAGCTATCACGTTCTAGATAGGCTAGTGTGTTGTCCGAGATGCACGTAAAGTTCTCAACCCACATTGCTAGACTTATCTCATGTTTTTTTTGATATGCTTCTGCATACTCATGAAATGCTAGGTAAATTAGGGGTGTCGTCCTGATATGCATGTAAATTCCTCCGATCACACCACTAGACTTACCTCATCATGTTTTTGAGTGTATTCACATGCACATGTTTTCGTTTGTTAGCATGATCATTTAATGAATTCATGTAGTATGGTAGAGGTATTGTGTGAAGCGAGGCTTGCGAGCTTAGCGTTCAGAATGTGTTTCCGTTCACAGGTTTCAGGTTTCGTAGAGTGTGATGGGTCAACGACATCATCTAAAGAGTCTCATCGGAGTACCAGAGTATAGTGATGAAGACCTAGTGGGCATGTAGAGGTCATGATTTGAAATGAGTCAGCTTGTAACATTTTAATTCTTTATTTTATTTATCGAGTTTATAAATTGGGGTCCCGCTTTTGTAAATTGTTATGATTTCATACGATGTATAAATATTTTAAAGTGAGTATGATTTCAAGGAAAGATTTTTGGGTTAGCCACTTCAGTGGTATTGGATGGCATTCGAATCCATAGGATTTGGGTGTTACAATGCGACAAACCAAGATTGAAGATTTAATGTTTGCAAAACAGCCAAGTTGTAGTGTCGACCCTGGTGCATTGCAATTAGGGTTATTTTTTAGGATTTTTTCTATATTTTTATTTTTTTAATTTACTTTTACTATTGTATCGGGTCGGGTCAGATCGGAGTCGGGTTTATGTTTTATTTTTGAAGTCAGTTTCGGATCAGATTAAATAATATTCAATTTAGATCGGAGTCGGGTTATGACTTTATTGTGTCGAGTCGGAGTCAAAGGAGGCAAAAATTTGACCCGACCCGTTGCCATCCCTATATATAAAGAAAGTTAGCATCTATTTATACTTATACTTAGCCTAAAATTTTTAGGCTTAATTTTTTTTAGGATCGTTGGATAAGGAAAAATCAAAGATTTAGATTAACTCTGTATTATTTTCAATGGATATCTCCTCATTTTCTATTATTAATCTTAACCTTTGATTTATAATCATCCAACGATTCTAAAAAGTGTACAACTTTTTAATTTTACTAACCTTGACTAATCCAAATTGCTCGTCCTATATTTGATTTTAATGGTTGAGTCTCTCAACGGAGATTTTTTAATACACAAGAACTCAAATTCGAGATATGTTCGTTGGTGCTCGAAATGGAACCTCTCAACCATTTGACATTAAATGCTTACACCTCCAACATTTCTAATGTTCAAACCCAAGACTTCAATGAATAACAATAATTTGTTATCTGACAATTCTTTTACGGCTGTAATAACATTGTTAATTTGATGTAATATATTTTTATAATATTATCATTAGATTAAATTTGATAACATTATTGTCATCGTAATAAAAATGTAACTTTTTATTAAATGATCACATAGTAAAAATAATTTGAAAATTTGATATCAAATGTTTTGAGTTCATTTCAAACATCTAAGTTATATACATAAATATACATATATATATATATATATATATATATATTGCAATTTTTTATAGACAAAAGACATGCAATATGAATTACTTTAATTAAAATGTCAACTTATAGGGTTGACCATCAACATCTGCTACGAGTGATCCACTATGAAATAATTACAGTGGGAACACATTGGACCCTAAAGCGAACCTGCACCTTCAAACAAACACATTGCAATGTCCCATGTCAAGAGCCACTGGTTCCTGTAGTTTTATGTAGGATAAATGGATGAAGTATATTTCCAAAGTGCTGTAACTGGTCTAGGAGATCTCTTCTAGCTTTCTGTTACGGTGAGAGATTCGATTCCGGTTCCCGGACTATCGAATTTTATCGGATTGTTTTTCTCCTCAATGAGTTAAGAAGCGAAATGTTGTAGCGGAATTATCATCACACTGATGTCGTCGAATGAGCCTCTCCATGATGACAATTCAACCAGCTTCTTACAAGCCGGGAAAGGATTAGGATTGTCGAGGCCGACGCAGAAAGGGCGAACGAAATCGATCGCCTCTTGATTCGTAACCTGAAAAGGCAACATAAACCAATGTTCAACTCAACATCACAACGATGGGGTTCGAAATTTATCATGTCAACCACGATTATAGCGATCGCGGACCGCTATTTTAATCCCTGGCAAGGATATTACCTTATTCCAAAGACCATCCGAGGCAAGGATCAAAAACTCGAACTCGGAGTTAATTTCCAACATCTTCGTTTCGGGTTCGGCTATTACCCATTGTTTAAGATGTTTATCACCAATTGATCTTGAAACAGCTAAAGAACCTTGAATTCTCCAAACACCGTGGCAACGATCCACATAGCCACCCTACAAAATTGAACATCAGATCATCATTCCTTTTATCTTCATTGCATTGAATTTTAGCTAAAGATGAACCGAGGGAAATTTTTTTGTTTACCAAAGCTTCAATTCTGTCTCTCTCGTCTTGCCTCGAAGGATGATGATCGGACGTTAGAGCCTCGGCTACACCGTTTCGGCTCAAAACGGCGCGACAATCGCCTGCATTCGATACGAAAAGATTGCCTTTACGAATCATTACCGTAACACAGCACGTACCACCACTCAGATCTTCCTTGAGCACATCCGTATCGGTGGTTAAATATGCCTCTCTAATTGCATGATCAATAGCGGCATCTTCACCTGTTTTTGATACCTCTGCCATTACCTTCTTATCCAAATTCTTTGACACGAATTCAGCAGCCCTTGAACCTCCATGCCCATCATAAACACCAAAGAAAGCCTGCAAAAGGAAAGAAAAGCAAGCCTCTAAAATTCCAATCACTGAAAGATTAAATGGGAAAATTACATTTTTAGTCTCACCCAAAAGTTTATAATTCAATTTCAACCTTTTTTTTAATAACAAAATCCCGAAGATTTGTACTAATTCTTAGCTTCTACCTTAAACTATGCATTTATGCGAAATGCTAGAGAAAATTTGAGGGGGAAAAGAATACCTGTTTGGGATCTCCGTCAAGATCAACGGCAGCAGAGTAACGGTCTTCCATTTTCCCTCTTCTCCCTCTCTTACAATAAACAGAATATCCTTCCGCTTCCACCCGCACCTCCTCATCTCCTCTAGGCGTCCCCGCCGATAATCCCAGCTGAACCGCCATTAACGTCGGTATCTCTATTCTCCCCGGCCTCTTCCCCTTCACCAAATACGGCTTCGTATCGGCTACGAACGGTAGCTGTATCTTCGGGACGCAAATCGACAACGGATATTTCAACGGCGAAGACGGCGATTGCGATGTCATCAAGGAGGCCGACGGGAGTTGACAAGGCGATTTGGTGGGTGATAGCGAAACGGATAAAGGGTACGACGGCGCGTGAGAGCCGTTGATCCGAGGAGATGAATGGAAAGATGAACCCTCCGATTTGCAGTATATTGAAGGGAGCTTCTTTTGCGAGAAAATGGGAGACGTCGGCATCAGTAGAGACAAAGGCATTTTTTGTATCCTTTCCTTTCTTCTCTTCTGTTTGGATAGAGCGGAAAGAGGGAGAGAAGGCGTCCAAATAACTGAACTCCCACCTTCTGAAACTGAACGTGTTTTGAAAATCCTTCCTATGGCGTTTATATATAGGCGAGAAGACAGACGGAACGATGCCGTTTTGGAGTCGGTGTTGGACTAAATTTGCAACTTATTTTAGGAGATAAAGTCAAACGCCTTTACCTTTTGTAATGGCGTGTGGCGTTACATATCATAAACTAAAAAATAATCAATAATCTATAAATATATAATTATTTTCCCTGAAATAATTTAAATCTTAATCTTAAAACTTATTTTTTTTTAGTAAAATTAGGTAGTTTTGTTAATATTGGAAATTAAAAGTTTTACTTTTTTTATTTTCCAAATATATATATGGTTTCCCAGAATTTTTAAATTTTCCATTTTTATTACGAGATTAATTTTAGTAAAATTCCATGGAATTTTTGTTCAATTTTAGCCCTTTTTTTAAAAAAATAATCGTTTTTTTCAATTTTAGTCAAATTCATAATTTTCGGTTCAATGGAAATATATTAGTGGTGTTCTAATTAAGGTTGTAGTTATTTCGTATCACTTTGCTTTATCCTTTTGGTAAAAAAGGTTTAGCCGGTGAAAATTGAATAACATTTGGTTTTTACCTTTCCGGCCTCCAACCACGACCATAGGGTTCGATCTCGATGGCCGTGTGCATGTATCTACGACATATGTGTTCGCATTTAGGGATCTGAACGAGCCGAATCAAGTTCGAGTATTGTTGAGCTCGACTCGACCTGAAGACTTATGAGTCTAATATTTTTACGTTTACTCGAAGTCATTAATTGAAGCTAGTAAAAACTCGAAATGAAAAAAATATCAAATTTAACTCGATTGAAGTTTCAAGCTCAAACTTTAACCTTAATTACATAAAAATCTTATACTGTATTTAAAAAAATAAAAACATAAATTTTAATATTATTAATAATTTATTTAAAAAAATTAAAATCTTAATATATTATATTTTCAAGTTGCTCGCAAACTTTTTCGAGCTATCCACGAACTTTTCTGAGACGAGTATCAAATAACTCATTTCGACTCCTAAAGAATTCGAATCGAACTCGAGTTAAATCCATTCGAATCAAGTATTTATTAAACTTTAATCAAACAAATCTCAAATAACTCACTATTTATCTGATCTTATTTATAATATATTCAAATTCCCAAAGAGCCAACACAATCCGACACAGATTTTGTTCAAACTTGAATTTAATATCGTTTTCAAATTCTTTAATTTAATATCGTTTTGAAATTCAGTCCCACCAGAGAAAAATATACCAACGTAATAATTATAATTTTTGTAAAAACAAATCTCAAACTAATTAAAATTTTGAATAGATCAAAATAAATATTAGTAATTTTATTTGTCTTAAATATACAAAAGGTGTCCAATATATGTCAGTTGTTTCAGTTTAGTGTCTAATGTTTATTTTGTTTCAATTTGGTGTCTAAAGTTTCATTTTGTTACTTATTTAGGTGCTCATGCCGTCAACGGCGTTAATTTTCTCGTTAAGTGACATATGTCACAATCTGGTAATTTTAAAAATTTTATTTAAAATTTAAAATTATATATATTTTAAAAAATAAAACACAAATTTTGAAATAAACCCAAAACTTTGAAAACCTCCATTTCAACCCCTAGACCCACGTCGACTGCCACCTTTTGCCATCAATGAAGCTCCACCCGACCTCCCTTCCTCTTGCCAACCAAATCCCCCATGAAATCGCGACCAATCGAAGGTCCAAACCCCCAATGAAATCCTGACTGATCGACGGTCGATCGATGATGAATCAACGTTTTATACTCCGCGAACCCTAAGATGAAAATCACGATCCCAAGCGATTCCGACTGCCGATCGACCATCGATTGATCACGATTTCATGGGAGTCTTTGTCGCCAAGGGGAGGGGAGGTCGGGTGGAGTTTTGTTGACGAAAAAAGGCGACGGCCGGCGTGGGTTTAGGGGTTGAAATGAAGGTTTTCAAAGTTTTGGGTTTATTTCAAAATTTGTTTTTCTTTTTTTTAAAAATATAATTTTTAGTTTTTAAATTTTAAATAATTTTTTTTAAATTACCAGGTTGTGACACGTGCCACTTAACTAAAAAATTAATGTCGTTGACAACTAAACGAGTACCGAAATGAAACGTTAGACACCAAATTAGAAGGAAATAAACGTTGGGCACTAAACTAGAACGTCTGGCATACATTAGGCACCTTTTGTACATTTAAACCTTTTTATTTAGATTATCTAACTTTTAATGTTACGTTTAATATGGTAGGGAACATAAACATCGAGCATGGTTAAAATATGGAAATATTCATTACCCTAATTTATTAAAAGTTTACAATCATTACCACGTCAAATTGTTTGTTTTTCGAATAATTTTACTTATCAAATAATGAAAAACGATAACGACCATAGCCTATTATTTTAAATATTAGAATTAGAAGGCAAGAACGGGCCTACAAACAAGTGCGAAAATGAAAGTCCATTGGATATGTGATAATTAGTTAAGAACATTAACAATATTTGATTTAGTAATATATATAAATACCTGCTCAATAATAAAAAGCCTTATTGTTTACTTTATGCAAAGAGGAATTATTCTAAAACAATTGGTCAAACTAAGCCGGCATTTCAAAGCAAATAAAGTGTGTATATTATATATGTGATCAGGGATGGGTATGGGTCGGTTGGATTTTTTGTTCATTCGATTTCAAAAATATTCACATTTCATCAAATCCATATTTTTTTTAGATAAAATTTGAATTTGATCCGATTTGAAATAATATATTTATTAAAAAATTCAATAAAAATATGAATTTAATTGAAAAATAAATATTAAAGCAATTATTCCTAAATATATAAGGTAAAATTAAAACTTCTTCAGGTCGGGTTGGTATTTTTCACCTTAAATTCGACTCAACCTTACCCGAACATAACTTCTAAAAAAACTCGACCCGAACTCGATTTTTTTAAATTTACTCTAACATGTCGAGCCGATTATTTTTCACCTTAAATCTTAACTCGACCTGAACACAAAAGTTTTCTAAACAACTGACTCTATCAAGTCGAATTAGATCGAAATCCATCGAGTTCTGGTCCCATGTCCATCCACGTGTGATTAAGGTATCATGTCTTTCGGTATATATAAGTTTTGTCATGTATGAACATGAGAGGTGAGTTATTAGTTAGTTTGGACTCATTAAGCGGTATGAGTAGTAATATGGGTTGTTATTTTATCTATAGAATCTAAATTTGAATTAATGTGTTTGTAGTATTTGTGTTATCAATCGCTAAGAAGAATTCTGAAAGCATGCTACATTATAATCACTCTATATTATTTAAAAACGAAGTTATTAAGAATTCTGAAAGCATGCTACATTATAATCACTCTATATTATTTAAAAACGAAGTTATTAATTGGTTTACATTATAATCACTCTATATTGTTTAAAAACGAAGTTATTAATTGGTTTTATCTAATCAAATCACGATTGTGTTCAGGGATAGACGCATGATTTTATACTAGGGGACAAACTTCTAAAATTTTAAGAGAGTAAATTTATAAAATTGTAAGGGTCCGAAAACAAATTACTAATAAAGAATACATAAAAGAAAATCTAAAAAAAGAATTTAAAAATTTCAAAAACACCCTATAAAGTAAATAATAGGAAGGAATAGTTGCACTTCCATCCTTAACTGTGTTATTAATTTATTTTAATTAACGAGGCCGCATGCATTATTTAAGTGGTACGAAGGAATAATTGCACTATAAGGTTTGACTTAGCTGTTTAATAATTGATGGGGCTTCTTCTTCTTCTTATATATATATATATATGAAAATGAAAGTTGATTTGGTAGTTTTAACTGTTGTTGATAAGGTCATACTAATAAGACGTATACATAAAAGCATGGATCTTGAACCGTTCTATTCATCGAACAATGGTTTTGATTTAGTAATCATGTGCTTTGGAAGTTAGGATTTTACTCATTAAATTTTGAATAAACGACCCATTGAAAAATCTAATTTTATTCCATTTTTGATCATTTACTATTCTTTTAAAAAATTATATCTAATATTAATTTCATTCTTTTACTAAAATATTAGTAAAACCCTAATTTGATTTGGGCTGATGAGCTTGGGTCGGTTCATGGGCCTCGGGTCTGGACTGGTTCGGGTTAGGTTTGGGTCGGATCCGGGTAGTATTGTAGTCTGGGTTAATTTGTTGGATCCGAACCTAGTAGGCCTACTGGGCTTGTATTTTGTGATTGGTTTGATGAGTTGCTTGGCCTTAAATAATAATAATAATAATAATAATAATAATAATAATAATAAATCCGAACAAAAACGGGTGTCTACAATGTTAATATATATGTATTCTCACCTTTAAAATTATTTTTGGATCTGTCACTAAGATCACAACCTTAATAAATAAAATTTCACATTAGTCTTAATTTCTAATTAGTCTATTATCAATTACTTTGATAGTGATAACTTCTGCATTACAGGCATCAGAAGCAATTAAATTCTTAAGGACCCTAATCAGAATCACAAAGTAAGAGTAGTTTTCAATTTGGAAATTTATCAATGCATTTGGATGGCAATATTGTGAAGTTGCATCTACATACACAAACAAAGATTAAAAGAAGTGAAAAGTCCCCCATCCCCTTGTTCACCACCCATACCACCCATTGTTAAGTCTTCTTTTTGCATCACAACTCATCGCATCACTAATGCTATTACTCTCTGCATCCACATAAAATACATGAACACCCCACTCCACCCCTTTATATTGTCTACCAAGTTGACCATTCTTGTAGATCTCAAATGATGCCTCCTCATAATCATTGTCTCTTATAAACATATCCTTATTAAACACAATGAACACATGACCTTTGTATCTGTTGATTCTGTTCCATCTAGAAACGAGATCCACATAATCTTTGTATCTGTAGCCCCTGTCCCATCTCCAAGAAACGCGACTCTCTCTCATGAGCTTTTCACCACTGGCAGCTGTCAGTTGGCATTTACAGAAAAAACCAACACCTCCGTCTGCAAACCAGAGATCGGCCAAAAAGCATAAAGCAAATGCCAAGAATCTGCTCCCACTACGCCCATTTGGGGCTCTCGTTAAATTTATCGGAGAATTCACGCTTCGATGCTCAAATTCATTTGCTGGAACTTCATTTCCTGGGAAACAACAAAAAAATTGATTTCCAAAAGAACCCCTCCCTTGCATCCTTGCCCATCTCTGTGCTAGGGATTGAATTTGAAGCACCGCGTTTCTCTCAATGTTTTTAATTGAATCTTGATTCAGGTTGAAGCAAATAAGGAATGACATGGAAACCTTTTCATCACGAGGAGTGTCATCACCATCATGTAAAGAAAAGAATGAATTGGAATTATGATCGGTGAAGGATACTTTCTCCAATGATGTGCAATAATTTGCATTCAAGCACCTCAGATATCGTGGAAGCTCTGAGAGTGTTTAAGCCTTTCGCAATACTCAAGTTCCAAAACGTTAAGGGATTCCAACTTTGAAATATTGCTCGACACATTTGCCACCTTCGAGTGACTCAAACTCAACTTTCTAAGTCCGACAAGATGCTGAATCGAATCCGACACTTGTTCTATTTCAGTGTACCTTAAATCTAACTCAGAGAAATTATTTTGGAGCTCAGGAAACTTCTTAAGATTATGACATTCCTCCAGCCCAAGCTCTGTAAGAGAAGCCAAATGGTTGAGGCAAGGTAGTTCAACCAAACTTATACAGTAATTGCACTTAAGTGATTTAAGGTTGATGGCTCCTGATAGATTAGGGATCTCCACTAGACTCTTGCAATAAGAAAGGTCAAGGCTTTCAAGAGATACCAACTGGTTGAGGGAAGGTAGTTCAACCAAACTTTCACACCCATTGCAGCAAAGGCTTTGAAGATTGATGGCTCCTGATAGATTAGGGATCTCCACAAGACTCTTGCAACCAGAAAGGTCAATTGACCTTAAATTAACAAGATCCTGTACATTGAAAATATAAAATAATTGCATTATCCACTTATTTTGGATATATCGAAAACAAAAACAAAAACATGAAATACCTGATGATCTTCCTTCCAAAGTTGTTCTATGAAGCTCTCCGTTAGTTTCAACACAACAAGATTCTTTGAATTAAAATTTGATGATAAGGATTTCAAGGACAAAAGTCCCAATGAAGATACCTTAGCTCATCAGAAAAAGATACACTATTAACAAAGAACGGACATGTATAAAGGATGATATATCTAAGATTATGCAGCTTCTCAAAACCAGAATATAGTAACAGCTGGTCTTCAAGTCGAGTCACAAAAAGCTTTATTCCTTCAATTGATTTATTCACCTAATAACAAGAAACAATTTAACGAGTTTCGTTACAGACAAAATTATATGAACATTTCATTAAAATTACTCATTACAAAATATAATTATACCAATAAACGCTTAGACTAATCAGACATATCTTTTTATTACTGAAAGTTTTAGACAGTAAAACTTGAGTAGATTCCATGTTATACCCTAAAACATTGGTCATTATATGTATAGTAAGTAAATAAATATTTTACTTTTTGAAATGATAGTTAAAATATTTGAAACAATTTGACAGATACCAACATATAACTAAATTAATTTATATAGACATTATATCAAATATAAATTTCAATTAAAATCACACAAATATGGAGAAAAAAAAGGAATATAGATACAACTAATACTTACTTTATTATATTTGAGCACTTGGATCATGTCTTTAAGACTCCATAACCTACTGCGCTCTCCAGGATCTTTAGATTCTCGGCGAACAATGTCTTTTCCCATCTCTTCAAGCATATCATGCATACAAATCACCCCTTTGGAATCCACTTCAATTAGACACTTATCAAGCAAATCGCTTATTCCACACATTGCACCCTCATACAAGCAACTTAGAATTTCTTCTACTTCTTTCTTGGATTCCCATTTCAAGAGGCATGCTATGTCAAGAAATATATTCTTCTCTTGTTCATCCAACTCTTCAAAACTAATCATCAAAATCTGTGAAATCTTTGGTTTTGCATATTCCTTGAGCTTGTCCACCTCACTTTCCCACTCTTTTCTAGACTTTTTTATAGTTTAGAACCCAAAACTTTAAGAGCAAGTGGACTGCCTTGGGCGTACTCCACAAACTTGTTCGATAGATCTCGAAAATCAGGAGCAGGATTCAACGACTTAAATGCAAATGTAGAAAAGAGTTGAAGAGAGTAATCCTCGTTTAGCTTACTCACCTTATGGATTTTGTCAACTCCTCCATTCGTAAGTACTTGCCTATCTCTGGATGTTATGATAATTTTACTTCCATCACCAAATGTTTTACACCCATAAGATCTATCTGCTCTGAGTCACTAACATCATCAAGGACGACGATTACTTTTATATTACTGAGCCTCTGTTGGGTTAAGACGGATCTTATGGAGGGGGTGTCTACACAAGTTTTCGAGTTCAATAGTTTGGAAAGAAGTTCATTTCGTAAAGATTCCTTCCCTGTTTTTCTATTTCTCTCTAACATCTTGAAGGAAGCAACGACATTGAAACGTTGGAGAGATTTCATTATAGACAGCTTCAGCAAGGGTAGTCTTGCCAATACCACCCATTCCCCAAAGTCCTATTATTCGACTATCTTCTTCCTCGATTAGCCGCAAGATCATTTTTTTCTGATCATCTATTCCAACTAATTCTTTATTAACACTTTTAGACTTGCTATTCAATTCTTTTATGACATACTCAACGACATCTTTGATGTATTCAGCCTCAGATCTGAGAAATCATTTTCACAAAATAAAAGTCAAAAGACATGTCAAATATAAGAAGATAAAATATGTATAGTGTCTATGGTTACCTATCGAGTTTGCCGCCTTGTATATGCCACCCTTTTAATTTGCCAATTTCAACAAAGGCATCTCTCCATCGATTCACTTCATCAAGTGGCCTATTCGATTCATGCTCTTCAAAGGATGCCTTAAAACTTCCAACAATGTTTCGGACATGAAAGGATCAACATGGTAAAGATGGGAAGAACAGTATGTTGTTGAGTTCCCTTGCGACCCATGATGTCACAGAGTTCGGCTAAGCTGATTTGGAAGAAGCATAGTCGACAGACAAGACGACTATTGAGAGATTTGAGGCTGCTATTGCTTGGAAAAGTGCCTGTGAAAGCTGCTCCCCTTTCTCCAGTTTATCTTCATCAAAGAAGATGTTCATGCCGGTGTCTTTCAGAGCTTTGAGGAGATGGCTGGTGAAGTTAAGGCGCGTGTCTTCACCTCTGAAGCTCAAAAAAACTTGATACTTCAAATGACAAGAAGAAGAAGCCATAAAGAGGAAAGATAATGGATACTGCGATTAATAGACGGAGACTAGAGATAGCAAGAGAGGAAGAAACTGCTTTTGAGAAAGTAAAGGTCATCAAATGGACAAAATGATGATGCTAATAAATGAATCCATTTCCTTTAAGTTTAATGAATGAAATGGTGGATTCAAAGAAAAAGAAGCCATTTTGTGAATGGCAAATTGGACAAGAGAAAGCAATTGGAGTATCAAACGATAAATAAAGCTACATGTTTATACTTCTGTTTTTCCATCGATTCTTTTCTTTTCTTCCTTGAACTTTAACGTTGCTCTAGACACAAATGACTTTTCTAAAGTATAATGGCTAGATCTCGGTAAGGGTAGAAAAAAGGAGGTTTTTTGAGGGTCATCAAAGAGGAGTTGGCCACCTATGTACGGTGGCCGGCCGAGTTTTTGGGCCTTTGTAACAACCTGGGAAAAAATATTTATATTTAAGCAATTTGGTGAAATTTGAGGATTAAATTAAAAGTTTTCATTGTAAGCTGTTTTAGAAATTGAAGGAAATTCAGGGATCTAACCTTGAATTCTCCCATTTAATGTAACATTTTGTTAAATACGTGCAAATTGGTTTTCTGGTTTCACACCAGAACAATTGTACACATATCCTTTCCCCAATACCCCTACTTTTAAAGCCGATTTTGTCACCGTCTGACCATCATTCTTCGATCCAAAATCACCATCGTGTTCGTCTTCGATCGGTGAACAAAACCCCGTAAATTGATCGTAGCGAAACGTTGTCTAACGCTGTGAATTTCGATTCAAGTTTCAACGTTTTTAACATCACTGCCATGAAAATCGTCAATTCATCGTTGATCGTTGCTCCGTTTTCGACACCTCCCGCACCATCGTGTTCCTTGTGTCATTCTGAGTTCACCGGTTCCCTTCTTGTCTCCGTCGTCGCCGGTGCGTGAGGGAGGTGAGGAAGTTAAAGTTTCCGACATTTTGAAATCGAGCTCTCCGCCGTTCAAAATTTTGAATCGAGCTTGGTAAGTGTTTCAAAATCCCTTAAAATAATTTTAGGATTTTTTCCAGGAATTTTTGGAAGCCATACGAGACCGCACCCGCCCCCACGAGCTGCCCCTGCGCGTGGGGAAGGTTCGCAAATGGGGGAAAATTTTGACCCGATTGACTCGACCCGGTTTGACCGAACCGACCAGGTCCGACCCGACCCGTCCGACCTGACTGCCCGACCCGTTGACCGTTGACTTTGACCAAAAGTCAAAATTTTCAAAAAGTCATTTTTTATGTTTTTCGTCGTCCTGAGTCCGATTCTGAAGTATGTTTTATGAAATTCGAACCTGAAAGCCTCGAAATTGTCAGTTAAACCCGTTGACTTTGACCAAAAAGTCAAGTTTTTTGAAAAAGCCATATTTTATGTTTATCGACGTCCTGAGTCCGATTCTGAAGTCCTTTTATTCCCAATTCGAACTTGAAAGCCTCCAAATTATCAGTAAAACCCAACATGCATATGTATTTAAGAGTTTTAGCTTTGAATGATTAAAGTAAGACTTGTGACTGATAAATTATTATTGTTTGAAGGTACAAGAGACTCTCCTGATCGCTCGACAGCTCGACCCAGCTCCTCTAAATTCGTTAGACCGCGTGTGTAGTATTCACTCGTATGACCCGTAAATCTTATGATTTCATAAATTAATTATGTTACCACTAGTAATGTAGTGTTATTATGAATTAGGTTCGAATATTGTAGCAGAGCATGGCGAGGCCGGTACTCAATAGATCTACTATTTGAACCTATTATCGAGGTGTGTTCCCTATATATTACTTAATTGTTTTATTGTTTTAACATGTGGTACACTGAAATCTATGGTTACTATTTTATTGATGCACCGAATTAAGGATGATGGCTTATGGATTATGATGCTATCTGATTATTGGTTTCACTGGTACATAATTACAATGATTAAGGATTTATGGAAATCATGTCACTATATAATTGTATTATTGAGATACTGATTTATAAAGTGCAGTTCTGATCAAGCTGGTAAATTCTTATAGACCTAATGTGACTCTTAGGTAGGCTCTGCGGCCCTGAGATCATTTTCGGGTAGGCCTTGCGGCCCTAAAATTTTTCTTAGGTAGGCCCCGTGGCACCGAAAACTTTCTTGAGTAGGCTCTCAGGCCCTAAGATGTTCCTTTAGGTTGGGTCTTTATACAATGGGTTTTTTTAAACTACGAGTTTAAAAAAAACTAAACTACCTTATGATTTATGAGATTTTACTAAACTATTACTTGATTAGTGTACCTATCATGATTTTATTGTACTGTTGGGACACACTGAGCCTAGCTCACTTTTCAAAATGTTTTCCCCTTTTAGATACTTTTCGTTAGATACCAGGATCAAGCACTTGGAGGATCGACACATTTCGTATAGTACATCTAATTGTATTTTATATTGCAAGTTGACTTTATTATTGAAACATGGACCTTTATTTCGAAGTAACTGACTTTATAACGACTACTGCTTTTGCTTTTGCTATTTGGTTTATCGTGATTTAGATATTTCGATATGTTTTAAAATTAATTTGTCGCATTTAGTTTTATATTCAAGAGTTGGTTTTATCCTTATTTCTTTATACTTTTATATATCATTTGAAATATGATTTAAGTTAACGAATAACATTTTTAGAAAAATGTCTTTAAGAATCATGAATGTAATTTGCTAGATTTAGTCTAAACGCATAGGCTGGGTCTAGGGGTTACAACCTTGGTGAAGTTCGGCCGGTTCCTCGGTTTTGTGCTCATGGCTCGTTGGATGGATTACTATGATTTTTGAATTTTTAATAATATGTTTTAAAAATATCTGTATCTTTTCACTGGTTTTGTGGGAATACACTAGATAACCTATTATGATCTCCTGAACTCATTCATCCGAAATATTTCTCTAAACATGAAAGCTAACTGTATGTTACATGAAATATCAGTAGGATTTGCTCAACATAAAGACCTGTAGATGTCTGAACTGATAAGTAATATATGTTTATATGTATCTACACGTTCTTCAACATCATCTAGTAGTTCTGTATACTGAGCTTTCCAAAGCTCACTATGTACTCACCTTTTCAGGTTAAAAGAATCATACCAGTGCATCTATCGACATTAGTAAGAGTTCTTACGGAGTTGCTTGCAGAGTATGGTACATGTGATTAGGGGCATGTAATTGTATTTGTTTTTATATGAGTCTGAAAATCTATTTTATTTCTGCATACTGATAAATCATTTTATGAGTTACATGTTTTGAAAAAAGTTTTAAATTTTCTGAGATTTTTACGATGGGCCGCTCCAGTGGCTCTAATGTGACACTCCAGATCAGATCGGGTATATCATATCGGTCTGAGAGGGTTACATTTAGTGGTATCAGAGCCTAGGTTTGAGTCAAATATTTTCTAAATAGACGGCTGGTCGAATTTCAAAAAAGATGTCTGATCAGTACTTCCCCATAGACTACAATAGTACTTCTCTGAGCTGAAAACTCCAGGTTGAGTCCCTATCTGTAATGAGCAAGCCTAAGTTTCATCCGTTAAGACTATCGTTTATAAAGGAATACCAGTAATGTCTGTCTAAATTCTGTAAATTACCACACGAACCATGTGAGAGTTACTCATCTGAGAAATTCTGACCCGACTCCATAAATGAAATTGGGATATGTTACCGCTCTATTAGCCTATTCGTGACCCAGACTGAATTGATTCATCAAGAATATTTCCTTTCTAATTCTTTTATTGGAATTAGGAAGACTTCTGATAAGAATGTATGCTCAACTGCTTAAGGATTAGTGGAGGATCCGTATTTCTATAGAAGCTACTTGAAGATATGGAAGAATTGATGGAATTTTCATTTTTGTAATTCTGTGACATGAATTCGAGGACGAAATTCTTTTAAGGATGGGAGAATTGTCAACCCCAATTTAGGGGCTAAAATTAAGAAATTATAAAGTATTGATTTTAATTGGTATTTTGGGAGAAATTGAGGATTAAATTGTAAAATTTCAAAGTTGGCATACTATTTTAGGAAGTCCAGGAAATTCAGTGACTAAAACTCATGATTTTCCCATTTTCTTTAGTAGAGAATTATAAATCTCTCCCCCGTATGTTTCTGCAGAAAAGTTTCATTTTCCCTCTCCCCTATCAACGATTTTGAACTCCGATTTCTCCACCGTCTGGCCACCGTTCGACGAATCGAAACCACTATCGTATTCGTTGTCGACCGAAGAACAAAACCCCTCAAACCTCTTGTCGTGAATCATCGTCGTTTGTCGTAAATTTCAACCATAAGTATTGTAGGTTTTAACTCAATCTCAATTGGTTTTTCGTCGATTCACGTCGATCCAGCCACCCGTTTTCGACACCTCCCGCACCATCATGTTCCTTGCATCGTTCTGTGAGTCCACTGGTGTCCTCATTGTCTCCGTCGTCGCCGGTGCGTGGAGGGTGAGAAATTTAAAGTTTCTGATGTTTGGAATCGGCTCTCCACCGTTCAAAATTGTGAACCGAGCTTTGTAAGTGTCTCAAATGCCTTAAAATAATTTTTAGAAAATTTTTGGGAATTTTCGGACACCATAACACTGTTCACTCACCCTCACGCGCCGCCCCTGGGAGTGGGGAAGCTTCAAAAACTGTTGGGGCAGTTTGACCCAGTTTTGACCCGACCCGTTTGACACGATTTGACCCAACCCGTTGACCTGACCCGTTAACTGTTGATCGTTGACTTTGACCACTGACTTTGACCGAAAAGTTAAAACTTTTGAAAAATCCATTTTTGTTTTTCGACGTCCAATGTCCGATTCCGAAGTATGTTTTTCAAATTCGAACCCAGAAGCCTCGAAATTGTCAGTCAAACTTGTTGACTTTAACTTTGACCAAAAAGTCAAAATTTTTGAAAGTCATATTTTATGTTTTC